ATCTTCGAAAATCATTTCAGTCGTTTTGTAGATGTATGTTAAGGCAGATGCCTAGCCCCCAGGCTTTCCTGTGGATGCATGCCCCAGGACTTTCCAAGCTCATCTCTCAGGTGCAGATGTGGGGTCTAAACCCTTTGCTTCTCAGGGAGAAAATCTGGGTTGTGAGTTCCTTCCTAGTTATGGGTTGTCACACTGAAGGTGAGGTTTATGGTGAGATTGTGTCACAGTCTCTCTGCACATCCTGATGTAGGTGTTTTTCTCATTTGCCTAATATGTAGGACTGTCCTATCTAGTTCTTGGGTTTCTTTCAGAGGCAATGCCTCCATCTGTAGCTGTAGGCTTGATTTGCCCATAGCTGAAGGTGAGGTGAAGATCTTATTACGTCACCATCTTGGGCTAGAACCAAAAGGAGTCTCTTGTACCCATCAACTCAATTTCAACAATTACCACCTCCTGGCCAGAATCCTTTCCTCTATACTCCCACCTGTCCTTTCCTCATTATTTCAGAGCAAACCTCAGGTATATTTACACACTCTATTCCCAGGAAAAGAATTGAGACAGACATCAAAGCCAAGTTGTTTGTTAATCTGGGTTTCCTTTTGTGAGACATTTCTACAAACTAGATTTCTTACTTTCAGTCATCTGTCATCCCACGTTTTTTAAAAATTTTTTTTACTATTTTTCTCAGCTTTATTGAGGTATATTTGACAAAACTGTAAGATACTGAAAGTGTGCAACATAATGATTTGATATATGTATGCCTTGTGAAAGAAGTCTCCTTATCACATTCTATACTTTTTTTTTTATACAATACAGTGTTACCACCAGTGGTCACCAGGTTATACATTAGATCCCCAGAGCTTATTCATTCTATAGCTGAGTTTACAGCCTTTTACCCACCTCTCCCTATTTCCCTCACTCCCCAGCCTTTGACAACCACTTTTCTACTCTGTTTCTATGGAGTTGACTTTCTTTTTACTCTACATATAAGTGATTCTGTGTGCTGTCTTTTCTCAGTGTGGCTTATTAAACTGAATTCCCTCAAATTTCATCTATGTTGTCTCAAGTGAAAAATTTCCTTCTTTTTGAAGATTAAACAATAGTCCTATGTTTATATGTATATAATACTTACTTTATGCATTTAGGTGACAGTGGGCACTTAGGTTGTTTATCTTGGCTACTGTAAATAATACTGATATGAATGTTGGGGTACAGGTATCTCTTCAAGATAATGATTTTGTTTTCAAAGGAAAACAGTATACTCAGGGTGAGATTGTTGGGTCACCGAGTATCACTTTTAATTTCTTGAGGAATCTCCATAGTGTTGGTATAAGTTTACATTCTAAGTGTACAAAGGTTCTTTTTCACGCCGTACTCACCAGCCTTTATCTCTTGTCTTTTTTATAATAGACTTCCTAACAGGGGTGAGGTGATTTTGATTTGTATTTCCCTGATGATTAGTGATACTGAGACCTTTTCATGTGCCTAGTCCTGCTGGCCATTTTATGTCATCTTTGGAGAAAATATGTATTTAGGATCTTTTCCCATTTTAAAATCAGGTTGTTTTTTTTTGTTTTGTTGGTTTTTTTTGCTTTTTGCTATTGAGTTGTGTGAGTTATGTATGTTCCCTGTATTTTCTGGATATTATCCCCTTATGTGGTTTGCAGATATTTTATATTTTCTCCCACCCTTTAAGTGTTGATGGGATCCTTTTGCTGTGCAGCAGCTCTTTGGTTTTATGTAATCTCCCTGTATTTTTGCTTCTGTTGCCTATGCTTTTGGTGTTAAACCTAAAAAAATCATTGCCAAGACCAAGTTTTGATCTAGCAGTTGTATGGTTTTCTTCTAGTTGTTTTATGGTTTAAGAATTTACATTTAGGTGTTTAATTCATTGAGTTAATTTTTGTGCATGTTGTAAGATAGTAATCCAATTTATTCTTTTGCATGGGGTTATCCAGTTTTTCCACCATTTATTGAAGAAACTGTCCTTTTCTTATTGTATATTCTTGGCTCCTTTGTCATAAATTGAATATAGATGCAATGGTTATTTCTGGTTTCTCTATTCTGTTCCATTGGCTTTTGTATGTTTTTATGCAAATACCATACTGTTCATTGTTCATAGTAATGCACCTGTTATCTTGCAACTTTACTGAAATTGTTTATTAGAGCTAAGTCTTTTCATAGAGCTTTTAAGGCAAAAATATATAGTATCATGCCATGTGAAAATAATAAGTTCCTTTATGATTTGGGTACCTTATGTTATCTGTGGACTTGTCATATATGACCTTTCTCTATACCCAGTTTGTTGAGAGTTTCTATCATGAAAGGACACTGAATTTTGTCAGATGATTTGAGATGAGTTTTATTCTTTATTAATGGGGTATATCACATTGATTTGTAGCTGCTGAACCATTCGGGTACTCCTGGAATAAATCCAATGTGATCATGGTGTATGATCCCTTGTAATGTAGTGTTGTATTTAGTTTGGTAATATTTTGTTAAGGACTTTTGCATCTATGTTTATTAAGGATATTTGCCTTTAATTTTCTTTTCTTGTAATGCCCTTGTCTGGTTTTGGTACCAGGGTAATGCTAGCCTTGTAAAAATGAGTTTTGAAGTGTTGCCTCCTTGTCTATATTTTAGAAAAAAATAAGGATTGGTACTAATTCTTTAAATGTTTGGGAGAACTTATCAGTGAAGCCATCTGGTCCTGGAATTTTGTTTTTTAAGAGGTTTTTGATTACTGGTTCAATCTTCTTACTACTAATTAGTCTATTCAGATTCCCTGTGTCTTCATAAATCAGTCATATTAAGTTGTGTTTCTATGAATTTATCCATTTCTAAATTATTCACCTTGTTTGCCTATAATTATTCTTAGTGATCTCTCTGATCGATTTCTGTGATATAAGTTGTAACAACTCCTCTTTCATCATATGAGGCTAACTAAAGTTTTGTTAATTTAATTTTTTCAGAGAACCAGCTTAGTCTCATTTATCTTTTTCTATTGTCTTTTTAACTTTTATTTATTTGTTTGATCTTTGTTATTTCCTCCTTTCTACCCACTTTGGGCTTAGTATGTATTTAGTTCTTTGAGGTGTTATGTTGACATCACTTTTCTCTTCATGTAGGCATTTATCACTATAAACTTCCTTTAACTGCTTTTACTTCATTCCATCAGTCTTGATAAATTGTTTTTCACTTTTCTCACAATTACTTTTTAAAATTCCTTCTTTCATTGTTCAGAAACATGTTGTTTAATCTCCTTTATTTGTGAATTTTCCAGTTTTCTTCTTGTAGCTGTTTTCTAATCTCATATCATTGTGGTCTGAAAAAAAATGCTTGATTTGGATTTTGATCATCTTAAATTTATTGAGACTTGTTTTGTGGCTTAATATGCAATCTATGTTGGAGAATGTTCCATGTGCTGAGAATGTGTATTTGGTAGCTTTGGGGTAGAACATTCCATATACGTCTGTAAGGTCCATCTGGTTTAAGGTGTAGTTTAAAGCCAATGTCTCCTTAATGATTTTCTTCCTGTATAAAGTGGAGTATGCACTTCCCTGCTTTGCTGCAGATTTCTCACATTTGAATGATTAATATTTGTGTTATATATTAGGTGCACCTATTTTGGATTCATAAATATTCCTAATGATTTTTGATTTCTCTCTTAAATTACCTTTCTTTTATTACATTCTTTGGTTTAAAGTTTATTTTGTCTTGAGTAAGTACAGTTTCCTTTGCTTTCCTTTGATGTTTATTTGTATGGAATACTGTACTCAGCAAAGTTGTCCTTCAAATTTGGAGATAAAAGTTATCCAGACTAAAAACAGCTGAAGGAATTTGTTCACCTGTTAATTGCTTCTTTGTTTGCCATATTCTTATGGCTCTCATGGACACCTGCTGGTTTTCAGAGCTGGATGTTTTGGGAACTCGTCACTCCAATGAAAGCCTTTAAAAAGTTGAGGCACTGGATGTGAAATCCAAACCCTTCACTCCTCAGAACTAGAAGTTGGGGTTCCCTCCGAACTATATGGTGCTATGCTGGGGTTTATGGCAAGTGTCTCTCAGCCTTTCCTCCCCATTTCTATGTGGGCATTTTCTCTTGCGGTTTCTGGGTCTCTCTGAGAGGGAATTACCAATGTGCAGTTGTGCATTTGGTGAGGCCATGGAAGAAGGGCACTCAGTAACCTCCTGTGTCATCTTAGTGTTGGCCAACTCTTCTGAATCCTCTCCTTCACATGAACGAGAGCTCTTTTTTACAAGTTGTAGTAAAAGAATCATCATCTGTCCCCTATGAAGTTAACCCTCATTTTGAAAATTGTGACCTTTGTAATTTTAATGTGAGAAGCCTCTCCTGCGTTGCTGCAAGTTTTCCTTACAAGTCACATCTACATGATCTTCACAGTGTCTGTAAAGGCTAAATCTAAGAAAAGTTAGGAGCTCACAGGATTGTGTTGCATAGTCTGATTTCTTGTCTTATTTGTGAAGAACATTTTGCCCTTATCGTAAACACTTCATCGGAATCTGTGATGCATCCTGGAAACCTGCATTCTACCAATTTCTAAAGTTTGAATTCACATTCCTCTTTAGAATTATTTGCACTGACGTCTTCTGCCAGTTTTTACATCTGCTAGGTTCTTCTCTTGCTATACAAACGTAACCTCTCATTTGATATGCAGCTCAGTTTCTTAGCCACTCTCCTTCCTCAGAGGAATATTCACATCAGGTGTTGATTTCTGATTCAGAGGGGTGGACATAGGTAATCAGCAAAAGCAACTGCAACTGCAATGTCTTTTTTCTTTCCCAAAAATGTGGGAGTTGGGGAAGAAAGGGCATTCAGAGACTGGGTTGTATTTTGCACAAGTGATTTTGATTGTTATTTATCCTGCTATTCTGTTTTTACACCAAATCAGAAGTAGAATGGATTTTCTTGTACACATCTTTAACAAACCAATTGTAATTTAGACTTTAGCATTAGTTATGATTTCTTTTTCTCATAGGTGTCATCTTTAAGAAATGAAAAGCGAGGCTCATCTTATCTCATCTCTGCCCAAGAAGGTGGTTCAATGGAATTTGTTGACCAGCATTCTCAGGGCACAGGAGCATATTACATGGAGACCTACTTAAAAAAGAAGCGTGTGTACTGAGCTAAGTTCTCTCCTTATATAACCTCCTACGGTTCTTTGAGTATCTCTGCTATTCATCGCTGCCTTAACTACATTCATACTAGCCATATCCTTTAAATACGGGTTTATAATTTCCCAGAAGGAACTGTATTGTGCAGCAGGCAGAATTGCCAAATAAAAAGTAAGTAGCAATAAGAAGGGACATTTTCCAATAGAAGTAGATGCATCTTAATCAATGTGGTATTAACTTATAATCCAGTGCAGAAATTTAACGATATTCCTTGTTTTAGGACTGGGAATAATTTTGATACCATACATAAAAATTTGAAGCAATAAATGGGAAACAGTCTTGTTTCCTGGGCCTTAGAAAAATGAGTTTCTTACATGCCAATGTGCATTTCTATTTACCTTCCCTAGAAGTAATCTTATTTATAGACTTTTAGAATTACAGAATTACAAGAGTACAAGTACAAAATGCAGCAATATTGAAAAAAGATACTCTACATGCAAACTAAATTATTAGCCACACACACCAGCCATGTATTATAAGACCCCCACATAGAGTGATGTCCAGGTATATACTTCCAGATTCCTTACTTCTAATGTGTTATTAACCATGTATGCCTTTTTGAAAAAATAAGGTTTTTTAAGAAAAGTAGCTTTGATGATCTTACTTAAGGGGGTGGCAAACCATCCCTTGGGATTAATTTCAGTCCTCCACCTGTTTTTGTAGAGACTACAAGCTAAGAATGATGTTTACATTTTTAAATGGAGGAAAAATGAAAATTTTATGAAATTGTGTCCATACATAAAATTTTATTGGAACACAACCATGCTTACTCACACCCTAAGGTTACTTTTGTGCTACAATGGCAGAGCCGAGTAGCTGGACAGAGACCTGCAAAATCTCAAATATTTACCATCTGGTCTTTGATCAAGGAAGTTTGCTGACCCCTGATCTAGTAGTATTGATTTTCTAATCCTTTTACTTCACCCGAAGAAAGAATTTTTACTTTTGCAGCTGACTTGTAAGTGGCAAGGAACTTAGGTTTCTGTCTCATTCCATAACATATCAACTAGTAATTTGATCATTACTGGAACAGGACATATTTGGATCATTAAATGCGTTATTTCACAGTATGACAGTAAAGCAGTCAAAGCTATTCTTTTTTTAGGAGACTTATGGAGTGACAATATCTACCACCATTTTGAACTAATAAGCGTTGCTCCACTTTCTCTTATTCTGTTGTAGTATGGTAGGCTAAAAATTCTTTTATTGCATATAACTTCTGACATTGGTATTAAACGCATGAGAAACCCTTTGCCATCTGGAAATAGCAAAGTTTGTTTCTTGTTACGAGACTGTAATTGATAAAAAATTTAGGTATCAACGATCCTGTTCTTTTTGAATTCAGATAGTAAAATATCTTGTAATTTGGGGGACTTACTATTTTTTAGCAGGATGAGGTATCTATCCTGTCTTAATTATGAAGTTAAAAAAATGGGTGCATATGTCGTAAAGAACATTACTTGGTATAATTTATTGCATATATTAACTTCTTTTGGAAAATGACAGCTAGAAAGCTAAACTAAGATAATTTCTAAGAAGGATACAAGGATACTACCTATGAATAACAATCAGCAGACGAATAATGGGGTCTCCAAGCTCTGCACTTCTCCTGCTGCATTAAGCTTCAATGCTTAGTCACCTCTGTGATAGTGCAGACAGAAGATGGTGAATTTTAAATCAGGCCGTGAAATGAAAAGCCACATGTGGATCTGCCCTCTGTCCTGGCTTAGGCACCACTAATATTAGACATAAGTACAAATCAAGTGTTGTTAGTAATATATTTTTCTAAGTAAACCAATTGTTTGAAATGCTTTGAAAATGGAGTCTTAATATTAAAAGGCATTTGCATGTGAAGTCTTGTATTATTTATTTGTATAAAGAGTAAACAAAGTGCATATAGAGTGGCCACAGGTTTGACACAGACAGACATCTTGGTGATAGAGGGTCATTGAACAAATTTAAACTAATCAATCTAGAACTCTCTTCAGGCTCAAAAGGTTAAAAAAAAAAATTTCACACTCTTGGTCATATAGTTCACATTGAATCAGAGAGTAGACATTTTGATTACCCAGCTACCTCAAAACTGTCTAGTGGATCCTGAACTCCATAGTGCTTCTAGCGGGTCCTTTTCTTTCAAGTTTTATACCGGTGGGCAGCAATTTTCAACCAGTGTGCCACCAGAATTGTCAAATGTGCAATACCTGACTAGGTCAGGAGCACACTCTTTTTCCTTAAATTGTTTAAAAAAAAAAATTACAGCTAACATAATAATAGCCACCTGGTGTGAATGAATCAAAATTATACTTTTTTTTTTTTTTTTGGTATGCCGCAAAATTTTAGTTTACGTGTGCCATGAGATGAAAAAGGTTGAAAACTGCTGCCATAGGGCGATGGTCAAAATAGTGATTGACTGTTATAGATGGAGGGTAAGTACTGAGACACTTTAAGAGCAGTGCAATGCAGTATATATTATGACTAGTTACATCCAAAACCAATGCTGGAATAGCTTGCCTCAAAGTGGTCAAGTTATAAAAGGATATATATACATTGACATTTCTTAAAAGCGTGTCTAATAGGTTCTTGAAATCAAATCTGTTTAAAAGTATACTTTTGGGGAAAGCACTGGCACAGGCTTAGTATTCAAGAATTAATACCATGCAGCAAACGATCTATTCCATAGCAGTCCCCCGAGTACAACCAGTTTTCTATAAAAAAAAAAAGGGGGGGTGGGGGGAAAGGGAGGGTGGGTACCGCTGGTCATCCAAGGGGACAGGAGCTAAGCTACTGGAAAAACAAAGTTTAAGTCCTACTGATGACAGGAATACACACATCTTTGTATAGAAATGATAGTATACTAACTGATATCTAATTCAAGAATGCTTGTTCTATCACTATATAGATGACATTTTTAGGGCATGTTAAAGTATTGACTAAGTCCATTTAGCTTTTACCTTTTGATTTATGTACCAGAAAAACATTTAAATCAACTGGCAACTGGGAAAAAGCAATCATCTTGAGATTTTGTTTTGAAAAAAATCCTATTATCGTATGCAACTGTGGTGGTACACTAGCCAGATGAAATGGTGGCATATCGTTCCAAATGGAGTGCTTACTAATATTTTGGTTGTCATTAAATTTGGCACCAGTAACAGTGACAAATAAACAGGAAGTACACATATTAAGCACCACAGCGTGCCTTATATGTGAATTACATACCCAAGTATCTTTTTAAACAGAATATAAAGTTTTTCCATTAAAATTTTTTTAAATGGCTTGGGTATTTGTTGGGAAAAAGGACTCGATACAACAGTGAGATTTAAATGTTATTCATGCTTTTTAAAAGTGCCTCAAACCCTTCAATAAGGTTCTGAAAGGTTGTCCGATTATTTGGTTGAAATTCCCAGCATTTTCTCATAAGTTGATAAACCTGTAAAAAGAAAAAACAGTAATAGTAAAAAAATATATATATAGAAATGTAAATGACTTTCCTTAGTAAGACTAGGTAACAAGAATATTTGAATGTTTAACATAGAAAATGTCACAACTATATTTCATAAATAATAGTTTAACATTTGAGAAGCTCATGGGCTAAATGACCTAAAAAAAAAAAAAAAAAAAAAAAACCCCAGGAGGGTAGGGGAATGCGTAGGGAGGGGTTTGAGATGGGAATGGGGGGGATGCAGACAAATATGTGATGCCTTAATCAATAAAGAAATTAAAAAATAAATAAAATCCGGGTCAGTATGGTAAACTAATTTAAGGGTGAAATTTTATCTCAGTTTAGACTCTGGGTACCTTACTCTGTGACTAAGATGTACTGAACAGAATGAATTAGTCTTACAGGCTCGAACTGAACGTCATAAATGCTATTAGTAAGTAGGACAAACTTCTACACAAAATGTAATTACATGTATTTTCATAGGAAGGCTGTACCAAAATATGCTCCTATGGTACTTTCTGAGGTGAGCCTACTATTGGAGGGAATCCTTGCTTTGAACATAATTTGTGCTTGTCATCTGGCCCAAAGATGATTTCTCAAATATCTGAAATTCAGCTTCAGAAAAACAATTTTAAAGGGGACTGTCTATCCTTCCTGCTCTCCCCACACCATTCCTTGCTGGAGAAAGCCAAGCTGTGAAAACATAGTAAGATTTGAGTGGTGTCACTGTAAAGTGCCTGGCCTGTAAATACCTCATCTGGACAGTTAGGAGGACAAGGCAAACGTTTTCCTTCTTTCAGTGTGTTCACAAGTCTCGTCACCGTCATTTGGCCGTGAGTGGGGCCTATCATTTTCAGGAACAACTGTGTAAGATAAAACCAGAAAAAATGTTGTAGTTTGCACATAGTTCTATAAACCAAATTAAGGTGGAATTTCTAGAATTAATTGGAAATTAAAATAACAAAAAGGCTTTTATCCTTAGTAACTCTAAATGCAAGTCCAAAATCCTTATTAACTCTCAATGATGAGACTCAACCCATTCCCAGTGAGAAGGACCTCATTTAGGAATTTGTGAGGCTCAAGCAAAGCTCCTACCCAGTGCTCCTTCACACAGACGAGACCCTGGAAAGTCAGGAATATCTGAGGGAACTGTGGGCTCCTTGGGAAAGCAGGATGTGGGAGAGCCACATGTAAGTGTCAGGGAACAAACCAAGTTAGATGGAAAGCAACACTTCCTTTATAATGCACAAACTGGATTCCACTTAAAAACAAAACTTACAAAGCAGAAGGATGGACACATTTTTTGCTGTTGTTAATCCTCACCTGATGATATTTTTTCCACTGCTTTTCTGAGTGGGGAGGAGGGGAAGAGAGGGGTGCTTCCCTCATGCACCCTGAAAGCATGTGCAGGCCAGGGCGGGACACATTTTAATTGGGAGCTAGGCTCAACTGAACAGGCGAGTACAACTTACAGCCATGGGACTGGAGTCTGAATCACAGTAAGTAAGCAGCTCGTGCAGAGTCACTCCGAAGGACCAGACATCAGAGGCGATATAAAATTTACACTGAATTAGACATTCCGGGGCGTACCTAAAAGAAAGGAAAACATGAAACTTGACTTCCTGCGAAGGCTATGCCAACCAATACCTCACAGAATAAGAAAAATCACCTCTTTGATTTTTCTTAGAATTTGATGTTCTGAGAATGAAAGTATGTATTAATGTCAGTGTGTACTTCCTCCGAAACAATAGCAAGGTAAGTGTGTGTCTTCACGTGGAGGCAGATATATGAGGACAGGCCCCAGATCTGATGTGCCTGCAAGTTCAGAATGAATCAGCAGTGACCTCCCTGCCCAGTCTTCTTCCAGTGTCGGTGTTTTGATGAATGATACACCCAATTGCTTAAGCCAAAAATTAAGGCATCCCATATCTAATTTCCTAAATACTTCTCATACCTACTCACCTCTCCTAAACCCCACTGTCACTGTCCTATTCACACCATCACTGGCACCTTTTAAAAACAGAAATTCCCACCCAACAGTATCCCAAAGCTCTTGGGACCCTCCCCAACACACTTCCCCCTTGCTCCCGAGGCAGACCTCCCACATCATCACCAGCCACACCAAGCTGAGGTCAGTTCCTGGGATACCGCTGCTCTTGCTTCATTCTTATGAGTCACACATGCCTTCTAACCATCTTTACACCCCCCTAGGAATCCTCTAAGATTTCTTAGAACTTACAGAAAACCAAACCTGAACCCCCCCTATATTTATGGTACCATGGAATTGGTTGCCTCACCCATTAAACTCTAAACTTGGTCTGCTTGTGTCTTAACACATGTTTGATTAAAGAACAAAGGAAGATTTGGTCTCCACGGAGGGAGTGATCTCTGTGTCTGTGTAGGATGTACCTCCCAGGTGCTCATTAGTTGAATGGGGGTGGGGAGTGTGGAGTGAACACTTAACAATCTCTCTCCTGGACAGCGTTCTGGACTGACAGGCGGACATCAGGGAAGTCTGGTGATTCGTGAGAATATGCCCACGTTTCCCATGGATTTTGCTCTGTTCTGTCCAGTGTCTCCTTGAATCTGTTCCATGTCCACTTTGTCACCTCATTCCTGCCCCCTTCTCCTACCTGCCCTCCAGGCTGCCCCGACACGGATGTGCCTATTCTAACTACTAATAGTTTTAAGAACCATATTAGGTGAATGCCCTCTTGCTTGGCTGGTATGACTCAGTGGTTGAACACCGACCTATGAACCAGGACAGTTGTCAGCAAACCGCAGCTCACGAGGCACATGCGGCTCGCGAGCTGCTGTTTGCTGCTCTGTTGACTAATGAGTTTGTCGACCATTGAACCAGGAGGTCATGGTTTAATTCCTGGTCAGGGCACATGCCTGGGTTATGGGCTCGATCCCCAGTAGGGGGCTTGCAGAAGGCAGCTGATCAGTGATTCTCATCATTGATGTTTATCTCTCTCACTCTCCCCCCTCCTCTCTGAAACCAATAAAAACATATTTAAAAAAATAAGTGCCCTCTCCTGGGAAACTAGAGATATGGAGGTGATGGTTGTTTAGATTTCTCTATTCTTTGGAAGATGGTGCCATACAAAGCTCAGACATTTCTCTTGAGTTGCTTTCAGAGGAAGAGTCTAAAGCTATTTCCTGTGGGCAGAGATCAAACCATTCCAAATGTTCTAAAGCCTTTCTAACTCTGACTCAGGTAGGAGGAATGGGAGACATCGCAGAGCTAGAAAGGGCCTATCAAAACAGCAGAAGTCTGTCTGATGTAGTTACCAGAACACGGGGCTGTCCCGGTCATCCTTGACTGTGTAGTACTCTTTGTCGGTTTCAATTGCTTTAGTTAAACCAAAGTCTCCAATTTTCACTTGGTGCTCACTTTCTACAAGGACGTTCCTTGCTGCTAAGTCCCGGTGAACGTACTGTCGTGACCCCAAATAGTCCATCCCCTGGGGAGAGAAGTAAAGGCAGAGGCCATGAGGAAGGTCAGTTCACACTGTATTTCCTATCATTTCATAGCAAAACATAATGCAATGTCATTTCATTCACATATCACTGTTCAGGTTTTTACTTTATGCAAAAAAATAGCAAAACCCACCTGACTCAAAGAAACACACAGTACATCAGCTATACTTAACCATCAGGTCAGTTTCTCAGTAGATGCTAATTGTTCATCCAAGACACGCAGAGCAAAATAAACTCATTAAAATTACTGGTAAGTCTAATTACAAACCAATCACCCAGGATGAGTGCCCCTTTCTGTAATCTTTAACATGTTTCTTCTTTACCTTACAAATCTGAACTGCATATTTTAACTGCTGTTTGAGGTTAATTTTGTTCTTATTCTTTGGAAGATATTCCTTAAGGCTTCCAGAAGGCAGAAATTCCATGATGAGTTTAATACCATTTCCTCCTGTATTAAAAACAAAACATCAGTACAAAGTTACCAAAGAAAGGAACCAAGGGAGAGTAACGGGCACAGGATCTGGAGACCCGTCAGCATCACCTCTAAATCACAGGCAAGTCCCCCAACCTCAGCCTCTGGCCCCTCAGCAGTGACAAGGATGGTAACACTCGTGTACCCACCCAGGGTCATCAGCATTCACTGAGATAATAGAGTGTGCTACACACCACCGGGCAAATAATAATGAAAAAAAAAAATTAACCACATCACTTCTCTGCCAATTTTAAAGTATTGGCTTGCAGACAGACACACTTCTTAGTCAACACCATTTGCCACCTTGCCTTAGACAACTGGAAAATGAAATACCCTGGCTAGTGTTGGATCAGAGGACTAGGAGCAGCAAGGGGTGGGTGCCAGTTTCATATTGCTGTGTGCCTCAAGTGCCAATATCTGGATGGGTGACGGTCAGTCCCCAGTGCGGGTGTGTGAACAGCCTGGAAAGGAGATGCCGGAGTCACGCCCTGGCTGGCGGGAGGCTGCGCGGCTTCCCTGGAGCTCTGCAGCTGCTGAGGGGTGTCAGTGCCTACAACCAAGCCCTACAGCTCATGGGGGCTACCAGCCAGCGCACATGCAACCGCGGGCACTGCCGCCTCAGCACTGGCCCTTGAGACCCCAGACAGTCGCTAAGTCTTTAGAAACCAACCCTACTTCGCACAACATACCATCTTCCGTACAGATGCCTTTGTACTTGACAATGTTCTCATGATAGAGGTTCCTTAAGATTTCGATTTCCTTCTTCAGATCAGCTATGTGGTTCCCTCCACTCTCCGGCTTCAGGGATTTGACAGCCACCTGCTCCCCTGTATTGTCCCCTTCAGGGTCATACCTGCAGAGCTCCACCTTCCCAAAGTGGCCCTGGAGGGAAGATGCATGTGCTGGATTAGGCTGGGCTGGCAGGAACATGCTCGGAAGTTGAGGCAAGATGCACTCAAGAACTCCCAATGGGGAAAGGCTATCGCTTCAACAAATGGTGCTGGGAAGACGGGAGAAACACATATAGAACAGTGAAATTGGAACCCTACTTCACACCACTCATAAAAACTAACTCAAAGTGGATCAAAGACTTAAACATAAGACCTGAAACCGTAAAACTCCCAGAAGAAAACATAGGGAAGCAGCTCATTGGAATACTGGTTTTAGAAATGATTTTTTTGTACCTGATGCCAAAAGCCCAAAAGAAAAAAAAAAAAATGAACATATGGGACTATCTCAAACTCAAAAGCTTCTGCACAGCACGAGAAACAACTTAACAAAATGAAAAGACAGCCTACAAAATGGGAGAAACATTTTGCAGCCATATATTGGGTAAGGGTTTAATATCCAAAAAATATATACAACATAAGTAAGTTAATAAAAAACAACAATACCTGAACAATTTAATAAAAAATGGGCAGAAGAACTATAGACATTTAAAAAAAAAAAAAAAAAAAAAAAAAAAGGACATACAACAAGATGTTTAACTTCACAGGGAGATGATGCAAATAAAACCCACAAAGAGCAAAGAGCAAATAAAACCCACAAAGAGCTATCACTTCACATAAGCTAGAAGGGTTATCATCAAGAAAGTAAAACAACAGGTGCTGGTGAGGATGTGAAAGAGAAACCTTACACCCTATTGGTGGGAATGTTTATTTGTCCAACTACTACAGAAAACAATATGAAGGTTCCTCAAAAAATTAAAAATAGATCTATATGATCCAGCAATTGCACTTCTTGGAGAATACCCAAAGGAAATGGAGTTCAATGACATATTTGCACTCTATGTTTATCACAGCACTATTCACAATAGGCAAGATATAGAAAAAATAAAAATGCCCATGATGAATGGTTAAAATAAATAAATAAATAAATAATGCATATATACAATGGAATAATATTCAATCATGAGCAAGGGTGATATCCTGCCACTTGCAATAACATAAATAACTTGAGCAAAATATGCTAAGCGAGAGACAAAAACAAACAAAAAATCTAAAAAGAGAAAAAAGAAAAAATCAAACCTCTTTAAAAATCACAAACCATAGTTATATAGTAGTTACCAGGGATTTAGATGGTATTTAAGGGTATGGACCTGTAACAGGTACTAAAACAGCCAAAAACATTTAACATACAGTACACTGAACATAGATAATACTGCGTTGTAAGTAAGTAATGTGATAGACATCACTACATAGGCGGCCATATTACAATATATAAGTATCAATTTTAGCACACACAACATATCTCTAATTTATACAATGTTACATGTCAAATTTTTTCAACTTAGAAAAAGATGAGTCCTGCTCCCAGTGCTGTTCCCCTGAAGGCCAGGGGTGCATAGCGCAGCCTTACCTTGCTGTAGCTGCTTCTACCATCACCGCAGCCGCTTCCTCACATGCCACCCCCCCCTCTTACTGAACTAAGACTTAGCCAGTTGATAGTGATGTTGGCCCAGTCACCAAATCTTTGAGCTGGTCCAGGAGTGCTCAATGTATACAGCAGTAATAACACCTCAGGGATACTGTGAAGAACTAGGGACTCTATGCTTGTAAAATACCCAGCATCCCTGGCACACCACAGAGATTCAAGGGAGGACATGGTCTTGTTTACTTAACTGAACTCCAGAAAAATCTGTATAAAGATGCAAGTCTTCTCTATCAGTTAGGAAACTGATTTGAGGTCCAAAGGAAAGCTGCTGTGGCATTGTGTGTAGTAAATGCATCCTTCATTTACTAGTAAGCAGCCTCAGATGCCCAGAGATTTTTCTATTTCCACCATATCTGTATCTACTCTCCCATATCGTTCCCTTTGCATGCTTTTCTGCCCCTTCGAGAACATGCCCTATGTGCATATACAGCCATGTGCGCATGCTGTCACTATGTGAGCGGCATAACTCTGTGATACCAGTGGCCCAAAGAAAGTGGAGTAAGATACTTTCTCTTAGGAACCTGGACCAGAAGTGGGAAAGAACGGAGAGCAGCTTTAGGTGCAGGTGGAGGTGATGTGGTCAGGGGGGACTAGAGTGTAACTTGCCTCTCCCAAGTCACGGATTCTCTTTAAGAACCGCTTTTCAAAATGGGTGGGATCCACTTCGGTTGCTGGCGTTTTTTCTGAGACAATGTCTGGATCTAACGGAAGAAAAATGAAAACATGTCATTAACAAGACAGGACTGCCACTCACAGGCTCCCAGGTATCAGTTACCCCTGCCTATCCCCCTACCCCCCCTCAGGCCAGCTCTCCAGGGCATGGGCTGGTCTTGGTTCAACAGGGCCAGGCAGTGTCTTACTCTGCTCTTCCAGCTTATTGATGTCTCTCATGATGGCTCGGAAAAAGGGTCTCTGGTTGGGGTCATAGTTCATGCAGCGAGTCATAAGGTCAGCCAGCTCCTTACAAGACGGTGTCACTGGTCTGCATCGGCTTTCATAGAATCTCTCTTTCTGTACAGAAGAAGACAACATGGAAGAAACCAAAGGAACCACCCACAAATCTTTCAGCCCCAGGTCAGGAGGAGTAATCGATCCCAATTTAATGTCCCAACAGCTCTGCTTCCAGGTAGACTTCATAGGCGTGTGTGGGGAGATCTCTGATTCTAAAATAACCAGGACCCCAAAAAGCCGCATTCCAGTCAAGTTACACAACCTTTCTGGAATACAGTTTGGCAACATGTATAAAATCTCCAGGTCATTGGAACCCTTTGACTCATTAATTCTAATTACTCCATGACAGAAATAAATCAGATATAAACAAAGATTTATATGTCAAGATATTCCCTGCAGATTTAGATAAAACATGACAAGTTTGAAAACAGCCCAAATGCCAGATAAAAAATTAGTTAAGTAAATTAGAGTTTAACAAAGCAATCAACTTTTACATTGAATTTGTAAAATTGTAAAGCTTATTTAGTCAAGCACTCAATATTAATGAAAAGATATAGCATGTATAACTCTATCTGGCATGGTCCCGATTTTGTTTTAGCAAGAGATACGAACAGACTGGAAAGACAGTCTGCCAAAGTAAAATGGTGTCAGGAGTGACGGCAATAGGGTGATTGCTATTTTCTTCAACTGTTTATTACTTTAAAATTCAGAAATAACTGATGCCACTTAAAAAAGAACTAAGTGAAACTCCAGTTTCTGAATCCCAAGAGTACTAATTCCTCTTCTTGTCCCCTGAGGGTGAGGTGAGAGTCAGGGTCCCAGGGTGGGGAGGAGAGATTAGGATTAAGGAGCTGAGGCTGTCCTCACCTCTGAGGGTCACTCACCCTTCCCTGTCCCAGGGCTGTCCAACCCAATCATGGCTGCCTGGGAGGGAACTGGCAGACTTCTTTTATCAAACAAACCCTCACACCATCCCCGTTTCCTGCTCAGCCCTGGGTACACAGCAGGCATTCAATAAATACTGACAGACAACAAAGGGTATGCTGTTTCATTTCCAAGGAAGTTCGAAATAAAATGATCTTCCCAAAAGCCTAGGCTGAAAATTCCAAACAGATTTATAGACCTGATGGTTTCCCTACTGGCTTTGCCCTGACACCCTTTTCCCAAGTCCTGCACCATCTTTAAAACATTAGCTGGTTAAAGGTTCTCCTCTTCAATGATCTCCTATGAACACATCCTCCACTCTGGGTCCACTGCCACTCCAGTTACAGCCTTGAAGCATGAGTCCCTGCTGGTCTCTCCTCTGCCTGTCCATCCCAACCACGTGTCCCAATGAACTGTCCCCGAGCTGACCTCTGACCCTCTCTCTCCTCAACGAAACTCTTCAATGTCCCACACAACACTCCCAAGTAAAATTCATGCAATTGAGGCTTTTTACAATCTGACCACAGACACCTCTCCAACCTTATCAGCCATCATTCCTCACCACACTTTTCGGCAAAAACTGCAGTTTGCAAGCCACATATGGTTTGCAGCTCTGTTGACTAATGAGTTTGGGGACCACTGGGATAGGACTTAATCACAAGAACAACAGCAGCCTGTAATTATTGGAATAAGGAGTCTAGGTCAGTGCTCGTGAGCCGCAGTTTGATGACCACTGCTCTAGGCCAACGAAACCACTCATAGCTTCCCACGGACAACTCAAGTGCCACCTTCCCCCTGGACTTCGAGCAGCTCCTCCCAGCTGCAAGTTATGTCGACCCCTCTGAACACACAGGCATGTTCCAATCACCAAATCGCTGGGTCGGAGTTACTTTTATTTTTACTCCTTTATCCCTTTGGAGTTAAGAGTCTCCACTCCACAAGTGAACAAGGGAGGCTGAAGCCTCGCCTGTTTCGCAGTCTAGCTGGGGAAAAGGCACTTGTCTTAAGCTCCTGCGCCTCAGTTACCCGACCTGTAATGTGGACAGTGAGGATAATGGCACTCCTAACTGCAGGGCTCTTGCTCCTACCGTATGAGGTATTTTTTTGTGGGATCCTTATTTTGTTATTTTAGCCCAACTCTCCTACCACATCCTCAAGGGAAGGCAAGGCCTGTCTGTTTTCTTGTGAGCCCCCAACTTTTACCTAGTCAATGCCAGATACACAGAAAGAACTTCACAAATATCTGTATTAATTTTGCTGACTAACAGGCACTTGAAATCTCAGATAAATAATACTATAATGATCTGCTGACCTGTACTGTGTGCCTGGACTATATGTGCATTATGTAGTTAGTCTGCACAGAAATTCTACAAAGTGCATCTCATGTATCCCCATTGCACAGATGCTGAAACTGAGGCCCAGTTAAGTTCAGTTACAGTTGCAAGGTCACAAGAGACGGGCCCATCTCCTCCCACAATACGAGGCTTCCTCTTAACTCCCCAGAGCATCCAAGGAGCCCCCACTCGGCTCGCACTCTGGAAAACAAAAGCTCACCTCAATCAGCGTCTTGTCTTTCAGGGGGATCTCGCCATTATAGCAGATTTCCCAGAGGGTGGTTCCAAAGCTCCATTTGTCAGCTGCCACGCTCAGGTTCTTGGAATCTTCCACACACTCGGGAGCAATCCATGGGATCCGCTCTATGCATTCTGCAGAAAGACAGCGGACATGCACACGTCAGTCTCTGCCATCACCTGGGGAGCAAATCACGATCGTTGCAGCAAGCACCGTGAGCTCACAAAGAAACTATTTCAAGTTGCGTTTTCCAAATGAATCCAGGCCCCTCCTCCTGGACACTGGATGCAGCAGGGCCAGCAGACGTGTCTGTTTATCAGACTCACCAGGAGAGGGGTGTGCGGCCCCGTCTTCTGAAGCTCTGGCCTCAGAAGCAGCACAGCACCCAGGGTGGAGGCCAACACTCTGAGGAGGGAGAACGGGGGGCCGTGTGGACAGAGGCTCCGGAAAGAGAGGACAGGGAGAAGAGGCCGGCTTATGCAGCGCAGGAGCGGGCTACTCTCTACTACTCTGCACCATCACCCAGCCAACGTTTTGTTTGTTTTCTATGGGTTCCTTTTGTTTGGAAAGCAAGGGAAGGGAAGGCTGAGGCAAAGAAGTCACCTTTCTCTCATACCGGGGACCTCTCAGCCCCTGTTCTGGCTTCTAAGGCCAGTGACCTGCCATGTCCCTGGACGTGCCCCTCAACCCGCACAGTGGTCTCAGGACACAGCCTCTGGCTCCTGAGGCAGGCGGGCGGTTCCTGAGCTGGGCGTTCACGGTCAGGCCCTCTCACCCTTCCGTCTCCGCCTTCTCACGTCCTCAGACGCAGGCCCCTGTGGCGGGGCTCTGGGCTCACACATCTGCCATCACCTTGCTGCAGGCCCGCCTCACTGACCCGTCATCCACCACCTCCCTGCATCACGCCGTGCTCCCCGGAGCACTTCACGGGCCTCTCTCGTGGGCTCTCTTGGCTCCTCGACTGGCTCTAGAGCAGTGGCTCTCAACCTTTCTAATGCCCTAACCCTTTAATACAGCTCCTCATGTTGTGGTGACCCCCGACCGTAAAATTAATTTGTCGCACACAGGCTGAGAACTGCTAGCAGGGTCCCCTAAGACCATCGGAAAACACAGATATTTACATTATGATTCATCCACAGTAGCAAAATTACAGTTACGAAGCAGCATCGAAAATAACTTTATGGTTGGGGGTCACCACCACATGAGGAACTGTATTAAAGGGTCCCGGCATTGGAAGGTTGAGAACTACTGTTCTAGAGTCATCCATGACCCTGCCTCAAACCCTTGCTCAGGACAGGCCCCTGCACGACCCCGCAGGGCACCTTCCCGTCCCCTTCGACGGAGCAGAGCTCTAAGTGCTGGGCGCTGTGCTCAGTGCCGAGACTGCCGGCCGCCGCGAGCCAGCGGCACTCGCCAGGGCCAGGTCTCCCACTCCGGCTTCCATGTCTCGGCTCCCTGGTCTCTCTCCTTTGGGGCTCACACTCAGGATAACCTCATTCGAAGGGAAAATGCAATCGCTCAGGGGCCTCCCCAACTGCTAACTACTACAGTGGATTTCAAAAGAAACAAGGGAGGACCCAGGAGACCCAGCTCCTAACATTTCTCCGACCCCTTCCAGACCAGTGGCCTCCCCTTATATAATACTAACCCGACAGCGTGTACCCAGCTCCTGACTGCGAGGACCAGGAGTGCCTCGGATGCGTCATCTGTATCTCCTGCTACAGTCAGCTCCTGAAAGGAGCCAGGGACCAGCCCCGCTTACACCCCGTATCTTCCCCCAACCCTCAGGGCGGAGCAGAAGCACCAGACACCCACTTGCTGAAGTGCACTTTCTAAAAGGAGATAGAACCCCAACCCAGCCCGCTCTGTCTCAGGGTGGGGGTGGGAGAGGGGAAGGGCGAGGCGTGGGGGGGAGGAGACACACCTTGCCTGGACAGCACGGTGATGGGGATGCCAGGGTCGCTGAGCTTGATGAACGGGCCACACTCGCTGTCGATGCCTTCGCGGGCCAGGAGGAGGTTCTTAGTGCACACGTTTCCGTGGACCAGGTCTTTATCCTCCTGCAGGGTAGAAGGTGAGCTCAACAAGGCTGCCCTGGCTGCCTGTCTTCCCACGCTCCCTCCATTTCCAACGCTGGCCCCTTGGGTCAGTCCCTCCATGGTCCCCAGCTACAGCCAGACCGAGGCAGCTCAGGGGTCCCATCCAACGCGTGACCAGAGCACATTACCAAATGGGCCGCCTCAGTGAGACTGAGTAACAGGAGAACGTGCCTCATAGGGCTTTTGTGGGAATTAAATAAATTAGAACCTATAAAACATGTAAATAGCTGAACCATGGTAAGTGCTCAATAAATGTGAGCTACTACTGATGCCGGTAGTTTCATTTACTCATCAGGTACTGTACTATTTCTCCTCCTACTGTATACTGCAAGGCAGCAGCCAGTCCTCTGACATGACAGACGTTCCCTCTAATCAACATTTATACGTTTGGAGCACACAGAGTGACCCAACATGACCGTGTTCATGAGGCAGCAGGTGTTTAAGCTCCTGTGTTTAACCGCAGCGTCTGAGCACCCCAGCCTGCTTGGCTACCCCTGGCTACCACTTCCTTCCTACCAGCCCTACTGGGCATTCTGGTTCCTGGTAGACCACCACCAACATCAGGTCAGAACATACTTACCAAGTAACTCAGGGCACTGGCCAGCTGTTTAGCAACTTTGAATTTCCATGGTGTGGTGAGGACGTCGCTTTTCCGGTGCATAAAGAGATCCAGAGGCCCACCCTCCACAAACTCTTCCACCATGATATCTGCAAGCACAAAATGAGCCCCGTCTGGAACCTTCTGTCTGTCTGGGACAGTACTTTCCCTCGTTCCCCTGCGAGAGCTCCCTTTAGTGGCTGGTGCTCGGCCTGGGAGGATGCCAACATCCTCGGGAGGGGCAAACAGCAGAGCGATTCAGAGCCGGTTCAAGCCCTGGGTTCTAGCCTGGCCCAGAGCTCCTTATATATCGACTCACAGGGGGAACAGCTCCACTTATCCACCACAACCTCCCGGGTCCCAGAGTTGGCAAGAAGTAACATTCAAGAAATGAGTGAAAAACAAGTAAACACGTAACCTGCTCGATACCTCAAATCCCTTTGCAGAACGAAAGGCAAGAAGCCAGGACAAGAAGAGGGTATCAGTTCCCCCACCCCCGCTGTCTTCACAGCACCCTTGCCTCCAAGCCAGGGCCACCCGCCTCTACCAGAGAGAATTCACTTACTCTCCACGTCACGGACACAGACACCGTAGAGGTACACGATGTGTTTGTGGGAGACCTGTCTCATCATGCTGGCTGCCTCGAAGAAGGCCTGTGGGAGAAGGAAGGTCAAGGGTAAGCCTCCCCTGGTCTGACCCTGAAGGGGCACTGCTGAGACACAAAGTTGGTAGATCCCAGAAAATTCAGGACTCATCCCCGGGGTCCTGAGGACGGCTCCCGGCCTCGAGTTCCCAGGGGCAGTACCAGGCCTTCCCCTTGACCTCAGTCTTTATTTAGAAAAACAAAACAGGACATGGAGCGAGGTTGGTGAGATAAGCTAGCTACCAATTTCCCCATTGCATACTCGCGCCTACCGCTCTCCCCCCCTTTGAACACTGGGAAATAACGATGCGCAGCACTGTGTTGGAATAGAAGGGACGCCAAGGAGCAAACTGGCTCCATCTCTCTGCAGCCTGTGGAACCCGGGGCACGTTTCCACTCCCCTGGGCTTTGATTTGCCACACTGTGGAGTGACAGCCTGGCGACATAAAGGACTCGGAGACCATTCGGCCGGAGTCCTGGGCCACAAGAACCTCCAGGTAGGAAATGGGAGGACAAGGAAGAGGTAAGCCGCCGGGAAGAGCTGCCCCATCTACTTCCTCTGCAATCCTCCCTCCCTCACCTAAGATCACATGTGAAAAAAGGGACTACATAAAAGACATATTTGAAAACCATAATCAAGGCCAAAATAGATCAAGGCCACGGTTCTTCCCAGCTGACTGTGCTCCACGGGTTCCAGAAACGGGAGGTGGGTTAGCAAGACGACACTTGCCAGAGAAATGTCCCTGTGGCTGGGGTCCAAGACTTTGAGGATCACTTTTATTTTCTTCTCTTCAGAAGTTCCTTCGTCGTCCTTGTAATCCATCAGGGTCCCAGAGTAGATGTGTGTCCGCGTGCCTCTCCCAAGGTGCTCGCCCTGGAGGAGGAAACAGGAGGGGGGGGTGACTGCTGGAGTCTGTGGCACTTCCTGGGTCCACAGAGACAGCCCTCCTATTCCCAAACAGTCCTTTCCTTCCGTCTACTTCTAGGAACAGCCTGTGGCCAAAACATAACCCTGACCACCACACAACTTCCAACAGTGCTGCAATAGCCCGCGGCACCAGCCCCGCCTTTGGCCTCGGCCTCGGCCTCCAGTGCAGACAAAAGAGGACCCCCTTGGGGACTCTGCTCACAGGCTGGGGCACACTGCTGAGGGGCTTCTTAGTCCTGGCTCTACTGCTTGCTGGCCATTTAACTCAGGGACGTTCCCTTACCATGCTCAATGTCCGCTCCCTTTCTGTAACCAGGGATAATAATGGCACCTGTCTCAGAATCAGGTGCGCAAATAGGTACAAAGGCTCCTGGTACAGATGCTGGCACAGGATGGGTACAAGTCAACCTATTGGGCTGGTGTGTTTTGTTTGATTGCCCTAACCAGGCACTCAATGTTTCTCACACCCGAACTGTTCATTCTCTATCCGTATGTCCAATGCACGTGTGCACGCTTTAGAATTAGTAATGCAATTCACACACATCCTAGCAGTCCCACAGGGAAGGTGATGTGGACAGAGGCACAGACTGGCGGGCAGGCCCTGTTTCCTCATGGGTGAGAATAGATGGTCCCACCCAAGGAATGGCCTGAGGACTAGGACTAAAGGAGACCATCAAACAAAGTCCTTAGCACACAATGATCTGTGTCTAAGGACCCTCCCAGTTTAAGCTTGAATAATCCTGATCTAAACATTCTTAATATTTGGGATCAGCACATGAGTCATAAATTGTAGAAATGGTTGAGTCACTGATATTGAAGGCCTATGGAAGAAGGAAGGTTAAGGGTAAGTCATCCCTGGTCTGACAAAACCTATATACTGAAGTTCTATTGTTCTGGGACCCTCTATAAATGCAGAAATGGATGGCAGCTGCCTTGTGGGCCGATTCCCGTCCCCCACAGGAATGTACATCATCGTTAATCGAGTGTATTAATTTGCACAAACACCACCATTTGTCATCTGTCACTGCAGATGGTGATACATCTGCCCGGTCTCCCGGATCCTGGCAAGGGCCTGCAAGTACTCATTAGAGCTGCACCTGTCATGAAGCGATTCATCAAGGTTATGGGAAGTGTGTTCCCAGAACATCCCGGAAAAGCCATATGCTTTCAGGATAATTACTCTTCCCTAGAAGGGTTACTGATTCCAGTGGCCAAGTCACAGGACCATGCTGTCCGAGGCCCTGCCCGTCCATGTCAGCCTCCTCCATGCTGCTCCCTTTACTTCCACTGGCACTCGCTCTCCACCCTCTGGGGCTCTGCTCTGATGCCACGTCCCCGGGAAGCCATCTTTGTTCTTCCCAGGTTAGGTGGGTTGATGGTTTCTGAGACCCCCACACCCTGCTGTCCACCCTGCTGTCCTAAGGATTTGTCTCTTGATAACAAATATATACTTAAGGTAGGCGAGGTCTGCCTCCTCCCTCAGCGGTGAGCCTGCCGAGGGTGGCGATTGCACCTGGCACTCGGCAGCGCTCCATGCCTGCTGGCTGAATGAATGCTCGAGGCCGGAGGATGGTGGTTATTCGGCAGCTCCCCGGGAAGGAGAGAAGTCGGCCCCGAGTACACACCATGTTCTAGACAGAAACGAGGCCGGGGCACCCTGCCCTGGTGATTTGAATCTCTAGACACAGCTCTGGCACCACCAGCGGGACAGAGAACAATAAGGACCGGCCTTCAGAAAACAACTTACAGTGACGGAGGCAGCTATGTCTGTAGGCTTCCACTCTCTCAAAGCCCTATCCATCAACATCAGGAATTAACTTAGCAAACCAATCCCATGCCCGCCACCTCCACCACCTCCCAAAGGCAGGGAGCCCATCATGCCCTCTCCAACTCCTCCAAAGTGTCGCAGCCTCTGCCAGGTAACAAAAGGCCCTTTTCAGATTCCTTCTCTGCAAGGCTGCTGGGTGCTGTCTCCTTAGCCTCCCCTGCCATATGGCTCTGTGTAAGAGGGGTGCAGAACAGAAAGGGAGATACCCCTGGGCCTCACACCCCAAGCCAAGGCTGCAGGCAGCTCTGAGGGAAACAGCCGGCCTAAGGCTGCAGACTGGGCTAATGCCCTGCCGAGGCTGGGAAATGGCTCTGGGACCTGTTTCTCCAGACAGATCTCCTTCAGGCCTCAACTTTGCATCTCCTACAGCTTCACTGTGTCTGTGTACCCTCAGCTTTGCTCCTTCTGGAAGCATCATCAGAAAAGTCCGCACTAAATTTCAGAAGTTCTGCACCAAAAGCATGTCTTGGGGCATAAGATCCCTGGGCCCGAGACAACCCACAGTCCCACTGATCCCCTCCTTCACGGAGAACGCGCCTATGGGAAGCATCGCAAGGCCGGCAGGACAGCAGGGAGGGTGCTGGTTAAACTGCTTTAACTCGGAAAGACTCCTTGTTCCTTTTCCTCTAGGATGTGCTCTAACTCCAACCCCCAACTCCCCTGGCTGCTCTGCTGGAGGGAGGCGGGACCAAGGCGGATCCCAAGAGCAAGGCGACTCACTTGCATGATGTCTTTCTTGAGAATCCGATCAAAACTCAGCTGACTCATGGGGTAGACGTGCTGCCACTCCTGGGCTTTCTTCGTAGCCACCAGCAGATTGGAGATTTCTGTGGGAGAGAGAGAAGTCTGAGCAGAGTAGCAAAGGCCCGATATTCCCATCGGCGAGCCAGGGGGCTTGCTGAACACATACTTATGCATTTGTTGGTTCAGTCATTCAACAAATACTTATTAAGTATTATACTTCATTCCTGCCCTCCAAGAGCTCACAGGCTAATCACAGAGCCAAACCCAAACAAATACTTAACTAATCAAAAGGAAGCTACAACTTGTGCAACTGCTCGGAGGACAGGCCTGAGTGCTGTGGGCTGACACAGCAGGATCTGTTCCAGGAGGTCGGGAAGATTCCCCCAGCATCTCCTGCTCTACCTCCACAGCTTGGCACACAGTAGGCACTCAGTAAGTAATTGTTAAATGTGTGAATGAATAATCGGGTGTGCGCTGAAGGATGAGAGCTAAGGAAGGAGGAGGAGCCGTAAGCCGGGCCTGAGGTGGGAGGGGGAAGGCAGGAAGGTGAACACGGGTTTCATGCAGAACAGGACAGGTCACCCAGGCAGAGGGTTATGCCTGGACTCTTCCACTGCCAGACACCAGGTGGCACTTACTAAGTACCTGCTGACTGTGCCGATTATGAACAGACCACCGCCAAAACCCGACGCATTCAAACAGCAAACCGAACACATTATCAAACTGGCCAGCCAGGATCAGCACAGGTGACTGATTAGGACTGTATGATCTGTGGAAGTCACCTTCCCACCACCAAGCCATGGGAAGCTATAGGTGGGGGAAGAGACCTCCTTCCGCCCGTCTCACATGAGAGTGCTCTGGGAACCTCTCAAGATCTTTTTTTTTTTTTTTTTAATATATTTTATTGATTTTTTTTTTTTTTTTTTTACAGAGAGGAAGGGAGAGGGATAGAGTTAGAAACGTCGATGAGAGAGAATCATTGACCAGCTGCCTCCTGCACACCCCCCACTGGGGATGTGCCCACAACCAATGTACATGCCCTTGACCGGAATCGAACTTGGGACCTTTCAGTCCGCAGACCGATGCTCTATCCACTGAGCCAAACTGGTTTCAGCACCTCTCAAGATCTTTACGTTTTCATCCACTGGCTGCTGAGTAACAGGCCAAGTGACACTAACTGCTTTCCCTGTGCCAGCCACGGTCCTAAGAGCTTTACCGTTACTAACTCATTGGTCCCCATCACAATCCTATGCGGTATGTAGTATCTTTACCCACCACTTCCATAGGTCAGAAAAAAAGAGGTTCTAAACGATTAAACCATTTGCCCAACATCAAGGGCCAGTAATCCCTAGACCTGGGAATCACCCTGAAGTTGTGACTGGCTCCAGGCTCTCACCTTCTTCCCAGAGCACCCCCTAGCCCCAGTGGGGTGTACAAATCCACGTGCCAGAAACTGGGATCAGATTCAGGTCCCTTGCTATCATTCTGAGTCTACTCTCCTCCATTCTATTTTTTTGTTCCACCCGGGTACTTGGGTAAACTCTGATTCAAACAGGCAACTCAGGACGCCATGACGGACAAGACATCCAGGAAGGCCCTGCTGAATGGTATCCCAGGGAAGGGTGGCGACCGCGCTGCCAGGGAAATTAGAGGAGGATGGGGACGGGCCATTTGGGGGCTGATGGCTTGTGCAGCTGCTTCCAGGAACATGGCACTCGGGCCAGCGTGTGAGCAGGGGAAGCCACTTAACCTCCACGAAGCTCTGTTCTCATTAGAAAACAGAAGGCTATGCCCTCTGCTGGGAGGAGTGAGACACTGCACATGTGGGGCTTACCTCGGAGCCTGACCTAACAGGGAGGGAATGCTCATCACGGGTAGCCAATGTGACTGAGCAGTTTTGCATGTTAGCCACATCGTCCTGGTGGCACCAGGGGTTCACGAGCCCTGGCAACAGGAGTCCTCCGTGTCAGCGCTGACGGGTGCAGAAATCAGCAGCACGCTGGACCCCAGAGATGAGGGTGAGGATCAGTGGTGACGGGGCCACTGAGTCCGTGGGCCCCATCTCCTCCTAACAAGGTCACCCTCAGACGTGGAGAGGGCCAGTGGGGTTGCACAACACACAGGCCACTCTGAGTGGCTGCCTGCTTTTCATTTATCCCACGGGGAGTTTCTCCAATGTGTTTTCAAGTGAGAAACCCAAATGGGGATCTGGCCATCTGAGCCTTGCGGTCAGAAGGGCAGAGACACTGAGGAACTCAAAATGGCATTCTCTTTAATGTTCATGATTTTATCACTTCTCTGATTTGGAGGGGGCAGAAGAAGACAGGGGGCTCTGAGGGCCTGCAAGAGGAAGCCTCTCTCACAAAGCTTACTCTTTCTCTTCCCCAACTCTAGTCCCTCCTCCTCCCCAGCAATCTCCTCCCCACTACCCCGAGTCAGAATTGTCCCTTGCCCCAGAGTCTTGGGCTGATGGCTGCACCTGCAGCTTTGCAAAGATAGTACAACAGGGGAAATATCACTGAATTTGGAGTTAAAAGCATGACTTCAAAGCCCCACTCTTCCTCTAACTACCAAAGTGATCTTAGACAAGTATCATCAGGATGACAACATTCTGAGTTGTTCTGAAAATTAAATGACTTAAAACATGAAAGACCTTCAAACAGTGCCTGTCAAACTGCAAGCACTGCTGACATGATGGCAGCTGTAACCAACATCACTGCTACTATTGTTGTAAGTATTACTGATACTACTGGCTGTGTGGCCTTCAGTAAGGCATTGAATATCTGAGCCTCAATTTCCTCGTCTTTATAAAATCTACAAAGAACTATGATGTAGATGGAAGAAATGCAAATATGCATTTATACTGCTTGGGACAAGTACCTACCAATAAGGTAGCTATTGCTGTAATTATCACTTTAAAAAAAAAAAGTGTTTTTATTTACTTTAGAGAGAGGAGAAGATAAGAGGGAAAGAGAGATAGAAACATTGATCTATCTATCGATCAGCTGCCTCCTGCATGCCTCCGGACCGGGAACCAGCGATCTCTTGGTGCATGGTCGATGCTCAATCACTGAGCCACACCAGCTGGGCTGTAATGACACTTGACAGGCGTTAGTGAATGACGATCCTATGCTGGGTGCTGAGCTTCCCGAAGTCAGAGTGGTGAGTGAGACCCGGATCCTGATTTATGTCCTCACCAAATGGGAGAGACAGACACCAGACATATTCAACGCAGTGATCCTGGAGCCTCAACAGAAAGCCAGGACAGCGTTCCCTTCCTGTGCTTCTCCCTGCACAGCTACTGCTCCCGCCTGGGCGTGGCGTCTACAGCAGAGACTTCCCCAGATGGTGGCTGCAAAGAGCCATGTCGCAGTCTCCCTCTGCCACCACCTGTCTCTTCCTGGGGCTGCTCTTCTCCATGTCCTCAACCTCACCCAGAGACCATAACTCGGGGGAAATAAAAACCGATTCTAGTGTCTGGAAGGACAGACTATGTGAGGAAAGAGGGTGGTTGGGCTTTAAGGTTTTAACTCCCTCTGAGGTCTCACGGCCAAGTGACAGGTGAGTTTTTACCTTTGTTTTGAGCACAAAAACAAAGGCTCCGTTATTCCGTGAGGCCGGCAGGAAACCCTACCTGACCAATCAGAACACAAGTCCTTCCTCTCTCACCAAAGTCAGTGACAGTGCCTTGCTGGGAGACCAAGCAGCGATTCACACCAAGAACCCAGGCCCTCCGTCAGGTGCTGCTTTGCTGCCCTTGCCTACCAGACGCGGGGGTGTTTCAGGCAGACGCCTCAGGGCACCTCGACCATTCTTCCTGTGGCCTCAGAAAAAACTGTGCTTCCCTTTCTTTGAGGCAAGACCCCCATGAAGGGAAAGCTCTGACACAGGGTGGGAAACAAAACAAAACAAAAAAATCAATAGTCAAGGGATCTGGCATCCAGGTAGACCTGCCATTTAAACCCCTCCTTGACCTTGACTTTCAACACTTCTCCAAGTCTGTTTCTCATACATACAATGGGGCACTTGGCGTGGGAACCCTAAGTGTCCGTCCAGTTCTCACATTAGAAAAGGCGATGAATCCACCTGCAGGGTATCATGACAGCTTCCCACAACCTACAAAAGAACAGTCAAGCCCCTCACCTCTCCTGTCCACCTTGCTCCTTGATCTTCCCAAAGCTCCCACTTCCGAAGGGATAAAGCCCCAGCCCCTTGTGTGGCATTCGAGGCCATCCACAATCCTATGTATCTCCCTCCCGTCTCCATTCCCTCATAACTCCACCAAGCGCACTGGCCTCTAGCTCCCTCCGCATCCCTGGCGGCTTTGCCTGCTGCTCCGCCCAGCACATGCTCTGCTGGAGAAGCCCTTCCCCAACGGGCAAGCTCCCGTTCCTCAGCCAACACTCAGCTCAAGATCCACTTCCTCCACGCAGCCTCCCACTTCCTCTAACTCGAGGACTTTGACCATCGCTTCTTTGCAAGCCCAGGGACTGACACACATGTGCGTTAATTAAAGCACATGCTCTATCCTGCAGTGGCCTAGTTTCCCTGCAACACTTTCGTATTAGACAGGAAGCCCTTAGAGTGGAGGGACAGGGTGTGAGAAATTTCTGAGCCCTTGCATCTAACAATTCTTGGCCCACAGAAGATGTGTCGAGGTCATTTCTAAGGGCATCTCAAGACATTTTATCTCAATGAAGAAAGAAGTTTCTGCTTATGAATCCTAAGAGGCCTCTTTCTGCAGCTTAGGGATGTGGAGAAAAAGTGTGTGTTTTTTCTATAGAAAATGCTCCCCTTGAGGAACGTGATTTGATTTGGGGACCGACATGTAAGAGAACGCAAAGGAAAACACTTAGAAAACTGCGGGGAGAGCCTCTTCCAAGAGCAGCCTGCCGGTGGGTCTGGGTCTGGAGATCAGTGAAGTGCAGGGCGGCACTGGGGGCGCGGGGACCGGGCGCGGGGACTGACCTCGGGGCTTGGGCTGGCAGCAGCGCTTCAGCACGAAGCTGATGTTGTCTGTGCGCAGGATCTGCTTCTTGAGGTGGTTCATGAGCTCCCCCAGGCTGGGGAAGCCGCGGTCCGAGCCATGCAGGCTGTAGCGACCCTTCTGCACCTCGATCTGGAAGTTCTTGAACTGTTTTTGGCCACCTGACACCTGCCATTCAGGAAAATGAACAGAAACAGTGTTTTAAAGGAGTTGGCCATATGTACCACGGGGAAGAAGAAGCTTGGTGTTATCTCTGTCACACTTTTGTATCTTGAATTATTTAAAGTTTATTATAACCGAGGAAGCAAAGCAATACATGTGTAAGTGGTAAAAGGGGGTCGAAGAGAAGGCACTGAGAGGGCAGCTGACACTCGGTAGGCAGTGTGACAGCAGCGATCCTGCGACAGCAGCCGGGCCCTCCTTCCACCTGCAGGATGACATGCGTGGGAAGGCCAACCTCAGAGCTTTCAGAACAATCGCTGTGATCACATGACGTGGCGCGCATACAGAAAACCTAGTAAGCCCTTCATGAAGGTTAACCAATGTTATCGTGTGTGAGATAATAACTGCTATATCAAAGGTATCCAGGAACTCCCTCAAACGGGGCTTCCCAGGCTACATGTCTGTCTGAGGAGAATCGTGCTGGGAGAGGCAGTCAGCTGTCTGGTCCAGTCTCAGGGTCCCACGGGTCACGGAGAGGAAGTAGAAGCACAAGCCTTCTTTCATGGGCACTTGTGGCTCAAAGGAAACTATTTTAGTGGTTAAGAATGAAAGACAGGAAGTTCTACTTATGCTGTGAATTAGGACAAAATATTTAACATCTCGATGCCTCAACCTCTATGATGGGATTAATACCACCCACCTCACAGAGCTGGGTGAGGCTTACATGCGAACACCTGGGTGAAGTGCTCAGCAAAGTGCCCAGTAAGCTAAAACAAATAGTCCTCGTATCTGTGACCCTGTTTCCCCCAGGTAAGGTGGCATGACGTGTGCCATGTCACTGAATCACTGACATTCTTGGTACAGGCTGATGCTACTTTAGGAGGTGGTTGAGCAGTCTCATGCAGATTAAAATACTGAACTTCCTCCAAAGACTACAGAAGACAGGCCTCCTGCCAAGACAACAAGCCTGACAAGTTCTCAGCCCCTGCACCTGACTCAGATCAGTGTGAGGCCTCGTTGTGCAGAAACTCCCCCGACTAGCACTGGGCCCCAGAGACAAGGCCAGGACACCGCAGCACAAGGTACCTGCTGCCAGCTCCTGCTCCCCATGCCTGAATCCAGTCCCCAGGGTGCTCGGTACTTTTCCTCTCTGTGTCTGAAGTCTTCAATAGGCTGACTCACTGGCCCCGCCCCACCTGTTCTCCTAGTTCATATTAAACCCACTCAACACTCCCGTATTTACTTGGACTAATTCTGTAAAACGCATTATCTTTTAAAACAATTACATGAATAACAAAGACATCTGTGGTCTAGTGGGATCAAGTCAATAATTCTGCTTTTTCAAGTCAGCAAATCTCCACTTGTCAAATATAGGCTAAGAGCCTGTCTGTTCAAATGTCTGCAGCTACCATCTGCAGGAACGGTGGTAGGCCAAGTGCCCAGGTGCCTTCTTGGCACTGACCGTACAGTGAATGCCACAAACGCACACAGCTCTGGACCTTCGCAGACCTGGGCACGGAGTATACAATAAACCACTCTAAGTAATTACACTAAACGTGGCGAGTGTTGGTGCGAACTGGTTTTCTGGTCATGTTCCTTTCCAGAGCCACAGTGGACCCTGCCGGGGGCCCTTGAAGGAAGAGAGAAGAGAAGAGGTCACGGGGTCTAGCTGCTGGGGAGCAGCCTCCTTTTGGAGAACTGCCAGGGATTTTCTCGGGAGACCTAGACTTTCCTACCCCTCTTACTCCCCCACTGCCCCCCCATGAGCAGTCCCCTCCACAGCAGCTTCTGGACCACGTTGTATCCCCTGTGGCCCTATGGCTTGACCCAAGCCAGTGTCTCGACTCACCTCAGGCCTTTCAAAGCAGGTGACGGTCATGAGGATGTTGTCAAAGTCCGTGCAGCTCCACCGCAGCACATACATGCCCTCCTCGCTTCCTTCTTGCCGCAGTTTATTGATGGCATACTCGGTGCTGGAGGCGGGGAGACAAAGGGAGAAAGAGCTCACCAACAGGAGCACTCTGAACCCTATGGGACGTCCATTTCCCTGTGCTGCCTCAAGTCTTACAGCTTCATCACGTCACCTGTCCTCAAGTCCACTCAGGTATGACAACGTGAGGCAAGCAGAGAGGCTCAGGAGCCCTGAGACAGATCATCTGAGCTCCGAGGTCCAGAGGAGGACTTGGCATGCTGCCCACGGCCCTGAGCATGTTCTCCCCATTGCCCCATGTATGCTGTCTCCAGCCCCAGCCTGAAGAACGCCCCCAAGCTGGCGATGGGAGCTGCCCCTGATGCAGTGGTGGGGGGTCCTTCCCACTGTTCCCAAGTGGCACACTAGAATAGGAGCCTCAGGAAAGAGCAATTTTGGGGTTATTCTGTTCATTGCTGTACCCCCACTGACTAGAGCAACCATGGGCTCATAGTAGCTGCTCAATAAATGAGTGAATAATGAATAAAGAAATCAGTGAAGATTAAAAAATTTTAGGAAGAACATGCCTGTCTTGAACTCCTTTGTATTCCCAGGTCTGATCAGCCCCGGCACACAAAGGGCAGTGAATAACTGCTAAATAAATACACATATGAGGTTGCTATACCTAGTGCAGGGTACCTGCTAAGTACTGATAAAAAGAGGGCTAACGTGGTCAGCATGTGTGAGAAAGGCAGAGACCAACTGCTCCTGGTGACACCTCCACACCTTGATCCTCACATGAGAGGCCCTTGCTCCTCTTTAGACCTGGCAAACCACTATTAATTCTTTAGGTTTTAATCCAACTGGAATACTACCTACTCTGAGAAGGCCTTTTAGGCAATGAGTTTCAGGTCCCCTGCCCCCCAGAACATCGAGCATTCATTCAGTCCATAAACACTTACTAAACGCCTACGATGTGCCAGGCGCTGCTATGGGGACTGAGGAAAAGCAGTGAGCAAAGCACACAGTGCCCTGCCTGTGTGGTGCTCATACTCGGGATGGTGAAAGTGGGCGGCAGGAAACGAAGGGTCACGGAAATAAACATGGTATGTCAAGAGGCAATGCCTCCGAAGAAAAATAAAGCAGAGTGCAGGAGCCAGGAAGTGTGGGGTGTGGGGTGTGGAGATGTGGAGGGGGAAGAGGGACTGTTGTATCATAGCAGGTGATCAGGAAAGCCTCCACCGATAAGCTAGTACTGGAGGAGCACCTGAAGGAAGTGGTGCTATGTAGATTCAGGAGGAAGGGCATTCCAGGCCAAGGGAAAAGCAAGTGCCGGGCCCTGAAGTCTAACTGGTTGGGATATTTGAAGGACTTGCTTCACTACAGTGCTCAGCCCCTTGCAATCCATTGTGTGTCTGTTTCCCTGTGAGCCCCTCTAGGTCGGGGCTCACCCCCGAACAAACTACCTGTCCACAGGTAACTAGGATGCGGAAGAAGGTGCGAACCATGTCACACAGAAGGCAGCTAAAGAGACACTTCCCCAGATAGATTTCTGTCTGGAAAGAGAGACTGAGAAGAGACACAGCAGCTGATTTCCTCTGCCTGAAGGGCAGTCATGTGTGAGAAGAAGTAAACTGAATCCCTGTTGCTTCCAATGGCAGAACTCCAATGAGCAGCAGAAGTTAGTGACAGAGGCAAATTCAGTTCCAGACCAGAAAGGCATGCATGTCTGTATTTGTTAGAGCTGGAATCTACTGACTGCTCTGTAGTACTATGTGCCCCATGACCACAGCTATCTGGACACAGGCTACTATTTCTGACATGCAGGAGGGACGAGAGTCCAGCATGCCCCTCCCAGCTCTAAGGTGTGGTCACCCCAACTGTCATTTATTGGACACTTTACAGCAAGCTGACTCGGGATCCCATTACTTACTACTCTTCTGATGTTAAAACCTGTTCCTACTTTCCTACATCATCTGCACTGTTTGGCACTGCAAAGGATTAGGAAGTATAGACTTCTTGGTCAGCTGGGAAGAAGTGAGGGGTTAAACTATGAGGAGACCCCAGTAAGGGATAGAGCTGAGCACCTGCTGCAAGGACCAAGATGACAGAGGACAGGAAAGCCTGACCAACAGACAACAGAGATGGACAAGGAGCCCTAAACAATATACTCAACTGGCCGCAACCTAGGGAGCTAATGACCTGTGTCTGAGGAGGCCACACTCCCCCCATCACTAAAATGTGGGTTCTTTTCACACCAGAGGCAACTGTAAAGGTGAAAGAACCAACCAGATTGGGCCGTGACAGCCGTTCTGTATGTTGTGGACAATCAATGGAGGAGCCACGTCAGTGCAGAGGTAATGATGGGCATCTGCTGTGAGCCGAAAGTAGCCATCGACCAGCGACACGAAGGACAAGGCCTCCTCGTGGGAAGAGAGCTTCAGTTCCTGTGGAGAAAGAAGAAATGCCCGTGTCATACCATCTGCTTACCGTCTTAAGAACCTTGCTCTATCAGGAGGTACACAGGGAGAAGATGCTGAAAACATAATGGAGATTGCATGACCCAAAAGGAAACGCCTTTTGTTGATAACTTACATTTATACAGGACTAATTGCCACTTTCTCAGCTATTATCTAAAAACTATCAGATGAGGTACGGTGTGTGTGTGTGTGTATGAGAGAGAGAGAGGGGGGGGAGGGGGATGAGGAGGAGGAGGGAGGAAGGGGGGAAGCTGTGGAAGGCAGACCTGTGAAGAAGCTGCCACCTGGTGCAGATGGAAAGCAAGCCAGAATCAAGGGGGCAGAGGCATGAGAATGGATCGGGAAAGCAAAGTGCGTGTAATGGTAGCTTGGTCTTGGCATTAAGCAATATCTGCCTCAGCAGGCATTACACCTGTTTTACAAAAAAGGAAGCAGAGCATAGATGGCTGATCTCATGCACAGATCACTTTCCATAGAACTGAAGGGGAAGGTGGTGGATAAAAGCAATGAAGCAGGATGGAGGGAAGGGCCTCATCACAGTGAGCTGTAATCCAGGGAGGAGTGCTCTGGGTTGTGAGCCAGGGAGGCCAAGAGAATGCAGGGCCACCATAGGGATGGACTCAGGCAGGAGACTGTGCTCAATGTGCTTCCTCTCAGGGGTGACCTGGTATCCACCTGCAGATCCCCAGCAAATTCACCTGGATTCAAATCACATTATCTCCACTTGCTATTATGTCTAAGCACGTGCAACCATCACTTTTGTAGGCCAAAGACTGTCAAATATGGGCAATTTCAAATGGTTTAGTCTAGTAGCTACGTCACTATGGTAAGCTACTTAACCTTCTTGTGCCCCAGTTTTCTCCTCTGTAAAACAGGGATAATAACATACCCACCTTACAGGGTTAATATGAAAACTGAAAGAGTTGACATTTGTAAAGTGTTTAGAATTGGAGGTATCTGGCATGCAGTAAGAGCTAATGTTTGTACAAGAAAATCAAGTAATGGGAAGATCAAGTATTTATTTCTTCCTCTCTTCCTCCTGCTCCCTACACAGCACTAGCATGGCACAGTCTCTGGCCCACACGGTCAGAGTGAGCTCTAACTTAAATGACAGGTGTACCACTGGGTGCCAGGCTTGACCATCAGCCAGGACAGGGCTGGACAGGCTCACAAAAACCGTAGCAGCTGGCTGCTGCTCCTCTGCCATGCTCCAGCAGGGTCTGGCCGCGCTGAAGAGCCAGACCGCCGATGTGCCCACCTCCCCCTCACAGTAGTCTCTGAGCAGAGAATGCCTTGGAAACCAAGCAGCCCAGGCCGAGCTGCTACCCTCTCACCGTGGGCCCTGCACACGTTTCCACACCTCTCCATAGGTCTGACTCCCGCTGGAGATGGAGCCAAAATTCCTGCAGCTAAGGTTCTTGTCAGGACTACACAAGGCAATAGAGACACAGCATACAACACAGACTAACAGCTATCATATGCTGGATAAATAACACTTTTATTCTCTCCTTACATTTTCCCTCTTCCCACTAACATCTATCTGGACACTTCTACTGCACTTCGTTTTTTACCAAGGCTTCCTGATGAAATTAATTTATATTGCTTTAAAAAGGTGGGAGCCGAAACCAGTCTGGCTCAGTGGTAGAGTGTCCATCTGCGGACTTAAAGGTCCCAGGTTCGATTCCGGTCAAGGGCATGTACATTGGTTGTGGGCACATCCCCGGTAGGGGGTGTACAAGAGGCAGCTGGTCGATGTTACTCTCTCATCGACGTTTCTAGCTCTCTATCTCTCTCCCTTCCTCTCTGTAAAAAATCAATAAAATATATTTTTCTAAGATCACGTATAGGTATATACATACCTTTTCAACATTTTTTGAACAAAACTGGTACCATTCTATTGACTGTTTTATATTCTGCTCTTTTCCATTAGAAAGTTATTTTTCCATTTTAGAAAGTTATTTTTCCAAAGTATTAAAAAAAAATTCAGCAACTTATATAGGACTAGAAGCCCGATGCACAAAGAGTCATACAAGAATAGGCCTTCCTTTCCCTGGCTGCCAGCAGCGCCTTCGCTCTGGCCAGAGCCACCTTTCTGCCTTCCCACGCTGCCCAGATCAGCTGGGGTGGTGCAGAACGCCCCCAGCCGATTGGTGCCTGTCTATGCAAATTAACCCATCATCTTTGTTGGGTTAATTTGCATACTCACTCCTGACTGACTAGTGGGTGTCACTTAAGGTACAGTCAATTAGCATGTTCCTCTTTTATTAGGTAGATCCCACCACTTAAGTAAATTATAATTTATTTTCTCATTCTTTTATGATGATATATTTAGATTATTTTCAGTATTTTGATACTGTAACTGCTCTTGGGATAAACATTCTCACTCACATATTAATGCCTGCTTTTCACTGTTTCTGCAGACAGATCCCTAGGCACCTGAATGGAGGGACATATCAATATGTTCTTTTTTGGTTAATCCTCCCCTGAGGATCTTTTTTCCACTGATGTTTATAATGGATGGAAGGAAGGGAGGATGGGAAGAAAGGGAGTGAGAAGGAAGGGGAAAGACATAGGGAGAGGGGGAAGAGAGAGAGAAAGAGAGGGGGGAGGAGAGAGAAAGAGAGAGAGACACACACACACACACACACACACACACACACACACACACACACACCATGACCAGAACCCGGGATCAAACCTGCCATCCAGATACGTGCCCTTGATCAGGAATCAAACCCATGTCGGTGTGTGGGCTGAAGTTCTAACAATGAGCGACACCAGCCAGAGCATAAATATTTTCAAGAGTTTCAATACATGTAGTCAACTGCTTTCCAAAAGGTATATAAAAAAGATAAGTTATGCCCCTGGCTGGGTGGCTCAGTCATACAGCAAAATATTTTGGGTTAGGTTCCTGGTCAAGGTACATACCTAGGTTGAGGGTTCTATCCCTGGTTGTGGATCATATGGGAGGCAACTGATTGATGTTTTTCTCTCTCATCACTGTTTATTTTTCTCTCAAAAAAATGAAAATAAAAAATCAATAAAAATATATCCTCAGGTGAGGATTAAAATAAAAGTTGCTTTTACATATAGTAAAAGTCTGTCCTAAACTATATCACCAGATTCGTTCCCAGCACTGAGTATTGGCTAAATTTTAGGCAAAACATATTATTTCCCCGGTGTTGACTACCTTCATTTGTGAGCCCATCCTGCCTCATCAGCGCGTTTTCTCCACATGTTGTCAGCGGTGACTTCCCTGACACAAACATGTATATTTTGGTAGGGTTCCCACTTCCCCTGCCAAACTAGCCTGCCTGTCTAGAGCATGTCCTTAAGTGATACCAGAAGAGAGGAAGTGAGACTGAGCACCGCTTCCTCTGTCCGACAGTCACTGGGTGTGCCTGCCACTACGATGACGGCCATGGAGACCACAGCCACCAGCCCGACATCTGCCAAAGTGCAAAGTGGGGCTTCCCACCAGCCCTCCAACTCTGCAGAGGCTGAGCAGGAGCCCTGGGGTGGGGTTGGGGAAGCTCTGACTTCCACTATCTTTCTCTTCTAATCCACTAATTTTGTGAAATAAATACTGCTGCTGGAGTATCTTTGGGAGGGCAGTGAATGCTGAAACAGATATACATTTGCAAGACGAAACAAAGGCACTGGAATGTACAGGTGTAACAACAACTGACATTATAATATTAGTGTCAGCATTAGGGAAGTTTTGGACTTAGTAAGACAGTTATAAGGTTTTCTCTTTGGGACAAGAACTCTGAAAAGTATGTGCTGCATCACTGTCCTCAACAAAGATGCCCTCTCGCCACCAGACCCAGACTGAGGAGCTTCGGTGCAAACTTACCATCTTTTTGTTGTCCTGCTTATTAATGCTGACCACAGACTCCTTTATTACAATGTGAGTGATTTCAGGGAAGTACGAAAAATTGTTCCACTCTTCTCGGATTTTGTTTTTCTCCTCGTCCTTCTTGTGTTTATTTTCCAATTTTTTCCGTTTCAATTTATTTTTTTCCTTTTCAACAGGAACAACCTAACAGTGTGCATAAAAGTGACAGAGTTGAGTGGGCTTTCCATTTTCTACTGGAAGAAGGTCACTGCTTCTGGGAAACCAGTGCAGAGCCTACATCCAGGGAGAAGCAGCTAGCATGCCTGGGTCTCAGAGGAATTGGAGAGACACCATGGGCTAGGATGGCAGTTGTGGGTCCTATCAGGGACTACTGGACTTTTACATCTAGAGGAGACCTTAATGAGCACAATGACTTAACTCCTTACATAATCCATGATGCACAGGTAAACTCAGGAAGGCAAATAACTACATACTAGACACACATCTACAATCAGGTCCCCTCAATCCTGCAATCATATGTTCAACAAAGGCAGAGAATATGCTCTTTCCAACTATGACTGGACAGAACATGCGTGTTCTCGCTCTCAAATCTATCGCTGATTGTCTCAGCTTTACAATATTCAAGTGAAAATTTTCAAAAGAAGGTATTAATGTCTGAATAACTTGGGGGGGGGGGGGATAATACATTTCTGCACAAGTTTAAATATTTCGTGCAGCATGAGTCTTGAGGGTTAGAGATCTGGGTTAAGATCCTGCCTTTGCTGGCTACTTCACCAGTTAGTTCATCTCTTTGTGCCTCCATTTCCCAAGCCATAAAGCAGAGATCTTACATCTTCACAAGGTTCTTTGAGAATTAGCTAAGTTCCTATTAACACAGTACCTACTATATAGAAAGCACTCGGTAAATGTTAGGATTGTTAATTAAGCAAGTCAATAAAACTAGAGAAAATAAATCTCACCTTTAATTTATTCACAATAATGATGACAGCAATTATAATAATTAACTGAACATTTATTATATGCCAGACTCTGTGCTAAGTGACATTTATCTCTCAAAACAACCCTACCAGGTACATATATTCTAATGGTAAGCATGTAGCTGAAATAGGTCAAGCTAGGATTTAAACAAGGTCCATTTAGGGTTAAAACCCGTGCTTTGAAATCCCTCTGCTCTATTGCCTCATTTAACAAATACTTCATAAAGAAGCTTCAAATTAAAAAATCAGTTATCCTATTTCATGGAGTCAGAGGCAAAATCACTTATTTGTTATGACCTTAGACAAATTTCTTAACTTCTCTGTGTCTCTGTGTGTTCATCTATAAAATAGAGAAAATGGCAATATTCCCTTCCAAGGTTTTTGTTTTTTAAGGAATAAATGAGCTAATACATGTAAAATGTTTTGGAACGTACTCTTGGTACATGGTAAACACAAGCAATATCTGCTGTTATTATAATACTACATGTTATATATGTTATTGTATTTCTCTATTTCCCTTTAACAGTCAATAAATGTTTAGACCTACTGCTACATGGACGCAATAAAAGGTGAATGATAGCTGAAACCAGTTTAGCTCAGTGGTAGAGCGTCGGTCTGCGGACTGAAAGGTCCCAGGTTCAATTCTGGTCAAGTGCATGTACGTTGGTTGTGGGCACATTCCCGGTAGGGGGTGTGCAAGAGGCAGCTGGTCAATGTTTCTCTCTCATTGACGTTTCTAGCTCTCTCTCTCTCTCCCTTCCTCTCTGTAAAAAAAAATCAATAAAATATTTAAAAATATTAAAAAAAAAAAAAAAAAAGGTGAATGATAGCCCTGGCCAGTGTGACTCAATTGGTTGGGTATCTGCACTTAAAGAGGTCGCCAGTTTGATTCTTGGTCAGATCATAAGCTGGGGTTGTGCCCTCCATACCTGTAAGGACCGTGTAGAAGACAGCCAATCGATTTATCACTTTCACATCAATGTTTCTATTCTCTCTCCGGCTTCGTCTCTCTTTAAAAATCAATTAAAAATTCTTAAAAAGAAAAAAAAAAAAAGAAAAAAGAATGAATGATATGGGTCTCCTGCCTAAACAAACTCAGCTGATGGGGTGATGGGCATGCAAACAGGAACTCCAATGGAATCTGCGTCTGGATGCTCTGTTTTGGTCAGCCACCTATCACCACTTACATTCGGTTTCTGCCTCCATTGGATTCCAAGGTTTCCAGTCACCATCACTTCATAGTAGAGAACATTTCCACTGTCGTTCGGATTAAACCAATTCATCTCATTTTCTGATGAAATCATTAACACGGTAGTCTCAAATATTTCAGCACCATAATGTTTTGTCAAAGTTTCCAAGGTCGCCAGGTATTTCACCTTCAGGTCATGTGTGGACACGCTGCTGTCACAAATGGTCTTGTTGTTAAATTCCTTTAGGAAATCCTTGAAGACATTATTTATCCGCATCCTGGTAAGAAGGTTCCTCTGTCTGATGGACTTATTCAATGTTTCTGGAATATATCGCTTGTAGCTAAAAGAAAGTAGAAAAATTCATTGTTTTTTCACAAAGAGGTTAGCAGAGAATAGTTTACAAACAAACCTAAGTCTATAAATCTGTACACCTTCTACATGTTATCAGATAAGAAAGAAGGATCTACTCCCAGATCATTAGATGGAGTGAGCACTGAGGAGTATAGTATTAGGAGATAAACAGGTCAATAGGGACTGAAAGAGAATAGAAAAGTACATATTCCACAGACCTTATTGAGATGGGAGTTCCTGTGAGTACCATCAAACTGACTTAGCTATGCTCTTGCTTGCTAGTGTCATTGTCCTGTACATACTGGTACTCACATAAACAGACTATGATACAGCACTGGTTTGAAAGTGGTCTGAAAGGTGTCAAGAGTGATTATTGGTGCTTTCTATGTTTTACTTGCATGCCTGTTTTATAATTTTCCTATGAAGACCACATATTGTTTTTTATTAGAAATGAAAAAATATCTATACTAGCATCCCAGTGCACAGATTCATGCACACTGAAAGGCAATTAATAAAAGAAATATTTTAACGTTGCTATTTGCATCTTGCTAATGAAAAGAAAATAGGATTCTACCGAGTCTCCTATCTACCTACTCCAGGATCTCTGTGAGGATCAAATGAGATGAGGCATGGGGAAATGCTTCACTAATATTTGGTTAAACTATAAAATGTCTGCACCTGGCTATAAAGCAAGTCAGGTCCCTGGGCTGAAGAAACTCCAAGGAGCTAGTTGCTAGGGAGAGGAAGCCTGGCACTAATATGTGACATCATTACCTGGTACCCACAGCCACCATTTCTGGGCTGGGCTGGGCTGGGCTGTGGGTTGCATTTTGCATTACCAGGTCTTGGCAGCATTGGCTGCGATTTGGTAGAGTGTTGCTCAGGGGTGGTGGCAGGGCCTGGTCCCACTTGGGGGAGCCAAGTATTGGTTTGTTGGTGCCAGGTCCACAGTGCATTTATTTTTAAACAACCAGTGTGTGTCATAGCAACTCCTGCATTAAGAGTATGGCCCTGGTGGTCAGTGCATGTCATAGCTACTAGTTGGACAGACGGACACTTAGCCTTTTATATATACAGAGAAGCTAATTAAATACAAAGTATTTGCCATGTGAAAATGTCCCCAAAAGTAAGCTGAAAGATTATCATCCAGCAGGGGGTTAAGGAGAAAGTATCTATGACTAATAAAATCTCAAACTGCTAGATCAGGAGCCAGCTTTAAAAAGAGTAAGAATACCCATGAAAGAAAAGAAAGAGGAAAGGAAAGAAAGAGGAAAGAAAGAGGAAAGAAAGGGGAAGGGGAAGGGGAAGGGGAAGGGGAAGGGGAAGGGGAAGGGGAAGGGGAAGGGGAAGGGGAAGGGGAAGGGAAGGAAAGGGAAGGGAAGGAAAGGAAAAGAAAGAGAAAAGGAAAGAAAAGAAAGGGAAGGAAAGGAAAAGAAAGAGAAAAGGAAAGAAAAGAAAGGGAAGGAAAGGAAAGAAAAGAAAGAGAAAAGGAAAGAAAAGAAAGGGGAGGGGAGGGGAGGGGAGGGGAGGGGAGGGAAGGGGAGGGGAGGGGAGGGGAGGGGAGGGGAGGGGAGGGGAGGGGAGGGGAGGGGAGGGGAGGGGAGGGGAGGGGAGGGGAGGGGAGGGGAGGGGAGGGGAGGGGAGGGGAGGAAGAAAGAACGAACAAGTCCACTGGGGGCCAAGCAGGTGAGAAGACTGGTGTTCCTATCACTCTGGGTCTAGGCAGTACCTGGCACAGAGTGACCCCTGCTGTGTGAATGGCTTCAAAACAGTGAAAAGTGTGCAGCTGGGAGTTCATTCCCAATGAATACCCTAACTTTTTAAGGGTAATGTAATGGAGGGGAAGACTAGGGGAAAATTGCCAGCCTCTTGAAAAAACAAAGAGGAGGTGCCCAGAGCAAAAGCCACAGGGGAAAAAAAAAAAAAAAAGTAGGAACAGAGCATGTATCTAATCAGTGCCTGTATTACTGAGGAGCAGTCATGATCTGCTCCAGACTCCAATCAAGGATAGAGATACTGAGATGCAAGAAGTAACCTTCTGAGAAAAATGCATGCCACTATCACAAAAAGTACAGCTACATATCATTTCCTCTCATAATGAGACTGTATTCACTTATGACATCACAATAGCTCACTGGAAAAAATGTACTTCGTAAATGTGTGGAAATTAAAATTATACAGACTGAATATTACTTCACAAGGACTTGATCGCATCTGACATACAATTTCCTTAAAATAGAGTGACCATCCTTCACATCAGAATTAACAGCTCTCTAGTGAACTCTAGCTCAGGTTAGGGATGGTAGTGACTACCTGTAGAGCTATTTTGAGAAGGATTTTGATAGGTCCAGCACAAAAAGAGAAAATGCAATGACAGATGGCAATGCCCACCATGGGCGGAGAGGAAGGGGAGGGTATGTGGGCCACTAATTTGATTGGCATCCCTGGCCCAGAACATTCACCCTCGTACACAATTCTGAGGTCATCAGCCAACATTTAAAATCAGGACACAATCATCATTGTGCTACCTTTTATAGATAACCTAAAAACATTTGTACCCTACGGAGAGGTCAGCCAGAAGTTGGCAGAGGTTAAACTGAGATTCTCGAGAACATATAAAAATAACACCATCCCCACAATCCATTGTTAGCCAGGAGAAAGGTTACCTGATGTCCTTGGGGAGTTCTGGCAACTGCATCTTCTTGATCATGGCATAGTGCGAGATGGCCAGCACGGCCATGCCCAGGCACTCGTTCTCGATGTCGTGCCCATCCTGCTCAGTCTTGGGGTCTCGGATGGGAGCCAGGCATTTGACCAAATCATATTGTCCCTTTGGAACAAAGGCGAGAAGAAATGAACCACACTTAAGTTACAAGCATAAATCCATGTTTCTGATCTTGAGAGGCAGGTTCTCCACACAGGAAGGTGCTGCCTAGAGAAGCAGCACAGCAATGAAACTACCGTATTTTCCGACGTATAAGACGACTTTTGAAACGAAAAAAAGGTCAACCGAAAATCAGGGGCAAAAGACCAAAATTGCACAAAAATTACCTGCAGATCTTGACAGCAAAGTCAGTCTTTTCTTTGAAGTGGGTGGTAGTCTTATACAGCGAATATAGGCCTAAACCTATGTTTTAATTGTAAAATTAGGGGGTCGTCTTATACGCCGGAAAATACGTAACAAGCCTGATAGTTTGCAACACACAAGTGCTGGCGAGGACGTGGAGAAAAGGGAACCCTCGTGCACTGCTGGTGGGAATGCAGACTGGTGCAGCCACTATGGATAAACAGTATGGCATTTCCTCAAAAAACTAAAAATAGAACTGCTGTTTGACCCAGCGATCCCACTTTTGGTAATATATCCTACGAATCCTGAAACACCCATCAGAAAGAATATATACACCCCTATGTTCATTGCAGCATTGTTTACAATAGCCAAGATCTGGAAACAGCCCAAGTGCTAGCAGATAAAAACACTGATGACTGGATAAAAACATTGTGATACATTCACATAATGGAATCCTATGTGGCTGTTAAAAAGAAGGAACTCTGACCCCTTTGCAACAGCATGGATGGACCTGAAGATTATAATGCTAAGAGAAATAGCCAGTCAGAGAAAGACAAATATCATATAATCTCACTCATATGTGGAATCTAATGAACAAAATAAACTGATGATCAAAATGGAACCAGAAGCATGGATATATGGAAGAGACTGGCGGTTGTCAGAGACAAGGAAAGAAGGGGTGACTGGATGGATAAAGAAAATGAAGAGATTAGCTTTAAAAAAAAAAATGCATGCATACCCCACGGACACAGACAATAGTGTGGTAAAACCCAAGGGAATGGGTGGAGGCAAAAGGTGGGAGGGGTGGTGGTGGGTACACCTGCAATGTCAACATTAAAACTTTTTAAATTAAAAAACAAAACACAGTTAGTTTGTTTGACACCAAAGTCCTTTCTCAACAGCTGGGTTTGAAGGGGTCAGGAGATGTTCTCCCCAGGCTAAGTCACTCATTTATCAAATGCTATTGAGCATATGCTAGGTCCTGGTGAAGAGCACAGGTATTTATAGGGGTTCCCCTGTAAATGGTGAGCAGCAGCGTCATACTAGGTTTAGATTTTACCAGGGCATGGGAAGGTGACGGTGGCTGGGGTTTGATCACGCTAATTCCACGAGCATGCACTGAGATAGCCTCGTCTTGGCACTGGGTGTATGACTGACAGGGCACCACGCCCCATTCTGATGCAGACTAAGAGGAAGGGGAAGAAGTGCACATTCTACAATGCGCCATTACCTCCTGTTAAGTTTTTTCAACATCTGCTGCTCAAGTTTCCAGTATGAAATGTGTAACTAAAATACTAATGGGAGGTGCACAGCATTCCAAGAGCCAATGAGGGCTAAATACATAAATAAAACCAAAAAGCTGTACCCACCTCCTGCAGTGTACAGACTGATGAAGATGATGTCAATGCTAGCTCTCCTCTATTAAACCCTAAGCTCAGTGCTAGACCCTGTACTGTCTCCTTTATCTTCACAACAGCCCTATGAGGCAGATGTTAACATCATCACTACTTAACAAATGAGGAATCTAAGGTGCCAAAGGGTAAATGACTTCATTCATTCATTCATTAGATGACTATGAATTACTTAGAACCAATTATAGGCCAGATGTTATTCTAGGTGCTAGGGATATAGCAAACCAAACTACATCCCTGACCTCATGGAGATTCCATTCAAAGAACAGACCAACAGAAATATTTATTATCAGGTAGTTATAAAAATCAAAGTCAATTAGAAAGATAACATGGCACAGAGGCCAGGGACCTAGGGAGTGGTGGGGAAGAGAGTTTATCTTAGATGTGACTCCAGGTCTGTGGTTGTTCAACTCTGCTCTACAGCCGCACTCAATCCCTGCAACTTAAAACATACAGTACTCTGAGGACGGGGAGCCTTTCGCCTTTTTCTAGCTGTGAACAGAAGTAGACACAATGTCTGGAGGCGGTGTTCCCACATAAGTAAGCCACTCACTTTCCCTAGAGGGACTTTAGTGGTTTTGGATGGAGGATTCTCACCAAGGCAGCTCTCCTTCTCTCTAAGATAGGACTTCTCTTTCTCCCAGGTGAGAACGGGACACTGACCACTCCCACATGCCACCGAGTGCTGGCAACAATCTCCTCGGCCAGCCACGTGTGAAGACAGAACAAACGCCGAGACTACTCTGTTTCGTAAACATCATTGCTGAAGCTCCAAAAGGTCAGGTTCTAATGCTATACCGAACTCCTAATGAACGGCACCCTCTTCCTTTACACTTCCTCTCCCCAAAAGGTAACAGAACTGGGAGGCTGAATTCAAAAAGACCAATCCGAAAACGGCCAGTTCATTTTTCCAGCACTTGCCCACGGCTGTGCACTTCTCTGTGTGTGGGATGGGGATGGAGTGTAACCAGGCACTGAAGCTGAAATACATGGAATATAACTGTGACAAAATCACATGTATGAAAGTATATCCTAACGAATCAATAAAACACTATGCACAAACATGTATGCATGAGGCTGCTCACACAGCCTATAACAGTGACAGACAGCATAACAGGGAAAACCTGAGGAAAATAAAACATGTCCAGAAATAGGAGATTAGTTAGATAAATGATGGCTTTCTTCTGAATTCCTCCTCATATTCAACTTCCTACCTGAAATCTCCACTTGGGTGCCTCACAGGCATCTCCATAAGAAGACATACAATTCCCACCCCTTCTCCAACCTGTTCCTCTTAAGTCTTCCCATTATCTATCAAGCATTGCCCAAACAGAAATCTCAAATCATCTCTGATTCTTCAAATTCCTTCAGCTTCCACATCCCACCCATTAGCAGAACATATTAATTCTGCCGAAACTGGTTTGGCTCAGTGGATAGAGCATCGGCCTGCGGACTGAAGGGTCCTGGGTTCCAAACCTTGGTTGTGGGCACATCCCCAGTTGGGGGTGTGCAGGAGGCAGCTGATTGATGTTTCTCTCTTATCGATGTTTCTAGCTTTCTATCCCTCTCTCTTCCTCTATGTAGTTAAAAAAAAAAAAAAATCAGTAAAGTATTTTAAAAACAAAACAAAACATATTAATTCTATCTCTGAAAGTAATCACAGACCCATCCACTTTTCTCCAACTCCACTGCCACCACACTAAGCTAAACCAGCATTCTCTCCCCTGGGACCAATCACAGCAACTTCACAGCTGAAGTGTGCTCTCGCTGCAGCACAATCCTCTTTTCTCTGTAGCAAGAAAAATCATCATCGACTTCAAACGTCAATAAAATCAAGCCCTCCAAATAGCTCTTCATCACACTTGGATAAGGGAAAGATAACCCCTTGCCAGCACATACAAGGTTCTGTGTGGCCTGCCCAGTCCCCCGCACCAGTCTCATTCCTGTCACCCTCCAGTCCTTCTCCAGCCACACTGATTCTCCTCTCAGGGCTCACCCACCTCGGGGGCTTTCCATATTCTCTGTATCAAATGTTTTCAACAGGAGAGATTTTGCCCCTGAGGGATATTTGGCAATGTCTGCAGACAGTTTGAATTGTCACCACTGGGAGGATGGTGCTCCTGGCATCTCCTGAGTGGAGGCCAGGAGTGTGGGGAAATGCCTGGAGGTGGTGCAGTCCCGCACAAGATGAAAAACTATTCGGGGAGAAATCCAAGATGGCTGCTCAGGTAGACACCTAGCCGCAGCCGCACACAACCATTTCAATAAAATACAACTAAACTATAAAATGGACATTACCCAGAATTATAGGAAAGTCGACTGACTGGAAATTCTACAACGAGAAGCAAGGAGAAAACCAGAAGGAAGTGCGGAGGAGCTGTAAAAGCCTAAGGTACGGAGACACGTGGCGCTTGCAGAGAGGACAGAGCCAGAGAGGAGGGCGGCTGAGTGCCTGGCTGGTGTTCCCTAGCGGGAAGGAGATAAAAGCTCCGACTGTGCTGGGCCCCAGTTCCGACTGCTCTGAACCCCAGTTCTAGGCCAGACCCTGGGGGACCCAGGCTCATCCATAGGGAGCTGGGCTGTAAGGCGGAACCCCGGAGAAGCAGTGAAAGGAGGTCCCGGTTGGCTGTGCCTCAGGATTGCCCTGGAGGGAAGGAGACAGGGGCTCCAGACTGCTCTGAACGCCACCTCCAACTCCACTTCCAAATGAACTGAACCCCAATTCCGGACTCATTGGGGGAGAGCCTAGACTGTTTGGTAGCAGGCGAAAATCGAAGGCACCTTTCTCTCAGAGGCGCTTGCTAGGAGTACTTAAGGACCCTGGGAATTATTGAGATCGCATAGGGCGGGGCTGACGGAAGCCAAGGCTGCAGGCTTCACCCTGAAACTCCGCCCCATCAGGGAAGCTGTGAAAATGCAACGAAATAGATCACAAACTAAAGAAATGGAGGACAAAAAGCGGCTGGATATAGAGTTCAAATCTACGCTTATAAGGTTTTTCAAGAATTTCCTAGAAAAGATTGATAAGACCTATGAGGATATGAAAAGGTATCAACTAGAATTAATAAAGAATCAATAAGAAATGATAAGGGATCAACAAGAAATAAAGAATACATTGTCTGAAATAAAAAATATTATACAGAGTCCTAAAAACAGAATGGAAGATCGCAAGAATCAAGTCAAAGATTTGGAACATAAAGAGCCAGAAGACACTCCTCCGCAGAAGCAAGAAGGCAAGAGAATCCAGAAAATTGAAGATAATGTAAGAAACCTCTGGGACAACTTCAAGCGAACCAACATCAGAATTATGGGGATCCCAGAAGATGAGAGAGAGCAAGATATCAAAAACATACTGAAAGAAATAGTGACAGAAAACTTTCCCCACCTGGTGAAAGAATTAGACTTACAAGTCCAGGAAGCGCACAGAACTCCAAACAAAAGGAATCCAAAGAGGACCACACCAAGACAAATCATAATTAAAATTCCAAGAGCAAAAGACAAAGAGAGAATATTAAAAGCAGCAAGAGCAAAGCAGATGGTTACCTATAAAGGAGCACTTATACGACTGTCAGCTGTTTTCTCAACAGAAACCATGCAGGCCAGATGGGAATGGCAAGAAATATTCAAGGTGATGAATAGTAAGAACCTACAGCCAAAGATAATCTATCCAGCAAAGCTATCACTCAGAATCAAAGGTCAGATAAAGAGCTTCACTAATAAAAAAAAAAAAAAAAAAGCTAAAGGAGTTCATCACCACCAAACCAGAATTATATGAATTGCTGAAGGGGGTTCTTTCAGAAGAGAAAGTAAATAAAGATAAAAATTATGAACAACAAATATGTAACTATCAACAAGTGAATCTAAAAACCAAGGAAATTAAAAAAAAAATCTGATGAACAATATTAACTGTTGAATATAATAGAATCAGAGGTATGGAAGGGGAGTGAGCTGACGATTCTTGGGAAAAAGGGGAGAGGGGGTTGTGGGAAGAGACTTAACATAAACTGTGCACCTATGGATGAGGACAATGGGGGGTGGGGAAAGGGCAGAGGGAGGGGTGGGAACCTGGTGGAGGAGAGCAATGGAAGGGGGGGAGGAACATTTGTAATAATATGAATAAAAATTTATTAAAAAACAAAATAAAAATAAAAAATTAAGGCTCTGAAGGGAAAAAAAAGAAGAAAAAAAGAAAAACTATTCGGCCCAGAATGTCAGCGGTGCTGCTGCTGAAAAGCTTGCTCTACGTGGAAGAGATCCTTTCCCTACTCCTCTCTTAGATGTGCAGATTCTTCTTATTCTTCAAAATTCAGTATAAATGTCACCTCCTGAGGGAGGCCTTTTCTATCACACTATTGTAAGTTGGTCTCCCCAGAGCTCCCGCCTCCCCATATTATATTTTTCCTTCATTGCACTGCTCACAATGTCTATGTATTACCTATGTATCATTTTAACTGCTTGTTTGTTTTTTGTTTGCCCAATCTGATGGTATGTCTGATGCTTGCAGAGACCACCTCTGCCTTGTTCACAGTATCTGCAGCGCCTCAGCAAAGAGTACGCAGACACTTGGTACTTGTGAGCTGAATAAGCTGGTTACTATGAAGTCGTTGAAATAGCAAAAATCTGTATTTTAAATTGACAGTTGAAGGAACAAAAATAAGATGAATAAAAAATCAAATTTATAAAATCATGAACAGCAAAACGTTTTCAAAAACTACATAGTGTATAATGCATATCTGCTTGGTAAAACCAGAAAACATAAAAACAAAAATGTTATATGCATATATGCTTCGCGTAGATGCTATCTCAGGGTCATGTGACTTAGATGATCCTAACTTCTCTCCTGCTTTTTCCTAGTGTCTCATCTTTCTACCGCCCCTGACACAGAGTGGTCATGCTCTTTCTCCCCAACGTTCCTGTGACTGCTGAGAAGTGTCCTCATCAGCCCCACTGCACTACACCGTCCCGTGCCTACAGGTTCCCTCCGCGCTCTCCAGGAAGGCTGCAGATGAGAAGTAAAAGGGTAGGAGGCGAAGGGGAAAGGAGAGGAATGGGAACAGGTGAGTGGGGGAAGCCCACAGGGGGATAAACAGCCCCTGGAACACTGACCTGATGCCTTTCCCTCCTCAGTTGGGGAAGTCCAGGGGTGGCAAGAACTGTCCATGGGAGAGGCTATAAGGTGTCCTAGCTGTGAAACAACCAAAAAGGGAAGTATCCTAGCCCCCCCACCAAGTTCAGCTGCATCAGGGAATCTGAACCCTACAACGCCTCCCCCATCCCATGAGTCTAGGTTCTCCTGGCCCCAAACTTCTTACCTGGGCAAACAGATACTCCAGAGAGCTGGCGTCAAGGAGAGGGGTTGCATCTGGAACTTTTTTTTTCTCGTAGCCATTTTTCTGCTTCTTTGGAGAATGTCGCCATACCGACTGCTCATTATCATTGGTCCCGTGCCAGTTGGTAAAATAGAACCTGGAACACAGCAAGATTGTGTCAGTTGTGGGAACGAGGGCCTTGAAGTGTTTGAGAGTTGTGTCCTGGTTCCACCTGGACTTATCAGAACTAGAGGATAACTCTTCAGAGAAGCAAGCAGACAGACCTTCCGTCTGTAGCACTTGGATGCTTATAAGGTCCTTCTCTTTTCATTCTTACAACACTTTCTGAAGAGCGTCCTGCCAGAGCCTCGTCTATGACTCGGAGATAAGTGACTTCCATAAGATCACACAGATAGCACCTGCAACTTTCATGATGTCTTCCAAAACAGGAAAACAGACTGGCTGACTAGAGGCTAGCCCAGTGCCTCCCTTTACCTTTACTAATACCATCCTGCCTTGAATCCAAGACATTTCTGAAACCTAATGCATCACACAGCCAAGGTGTACAGTTATAATAATATGGCAGTGTTTCCTATTTCTCAGATTGCTGTTATTAAGTTGATGACTTATCTTATAATAAACAAAGCTTTAAAATGGGAAAAATAAATGAAGATTAACTACTACAAGCACCAGCTTGTAGTGTTGTGAATTCAATTAATAAGCACTTTAGATGCAGAAAGCTATTCCCTACAGCAACTATACCAGGCAGATTTCATTGTTTCTCTGTTCAGAGGAGGAAAACTAAAGGCTAGGTGACCTAAGACCAGAGCCTGTCCTCTTGCTGCCAGGTTCCTCAGTCACCTGAAAGAAGCACGAGTTCTGCAATGCATGAAAGGGAGGGAGCCAAGCTGACCAGGCCCCCTCTAGGCTGCAGGCTCCGCTGATGCCTGGATCTCTCTCCCTAACATGCCCATGTGCTCATGAAAAACAACACAGCATGGAGAAACAATAACATTGCCTCCCAAAGCCACCTTTAAAGGAGCCGCCATTAAACTCAGACACCTGTCACTGCTGTAGCTGCACAGCCCAGCATGTGCCAGGCTCTGTGAGGCAAAGGATTCTCCGGAGAATCAGTGAGGTTCCCTGACTCCATGCTCATATGGCAATCAGTCAATCCAACAATGACAATGAAGTAACTCACAAGGGGGCACATCTCATAAACAGGACTACACTGTGACTGTCATGGATTCCCCCCCCCCACCCCACCCCCACATACAGTTTTCCTTTCCTCTACATAAAAATATTAAAGTTTCATTTTCATTTATTTTAATCCTCACCAGGGGATATGCTTTTATTTATTTTAGAGAAACACTGAGTGAAAGTGAAACATTAATCAGTTGCTTCCCACACACACCGACCAGGGATCGAACCTGCAACCTGGGTGGTCATTCAGACAATAACTAGAAGTCTACTAGAAGTTCTGGGGGTCTGCCCGGAAAGCGATCGGTAAAAGGGTCTAAACAGGACAAATGAAGATGGTGGCTAAGAGCTTGTGCGTGCTCACACATGTGCCCGGCACTCTATTATACAAAGGTTCAATGCAGGGCTCTGACAGAGGAGCTGGAAGGACAGGTAAATTCTGTTTGACAGTGCAGAGAATGAGGACTGTGTACAATGTGGAAGGTTACCTAGGACAAGAGGGAAAAGGTTCTCAAGGACAGAGGAAATTATTGGAAAGAGAAGCACTGAAGACAGATTTTCCCTGAAGCAGTCCAAGCCATGGTCGTCGTCTTCTACATCCCACTGAGTCTCTCTGGAAGAGTCCTTGGACCGGGTGGAGCCAAGGGCCCAACAAACTCCTCTGAGCAGACTGTGGGAACACGGACATTCTCCAAGGCTGCTATGTGAGCCTCAGACACTACTCTGGCTTGGGAGCCTTTAGGCAAGATGTTCAGACAGTACAAGACAAGGAGATCAAAGATAATGTGCAGCTTCTCCACCTCACTGAAGGCTGAAGGGGGCCTAAAGCAAGGTTCAACCTCTAGAAATTGTCTCCAGTCAAAGGCTGTCAGTTTTCTATCTAATAAGGTGACAAAACAAAAATTAAAGCAGTAACGCCAAAGTCAACATCTTCCCAATTCTGTTCTATTATAATAAGACAATACTATTATAGAATTACACTGAGGACAGAAATCCCTTTTAAAATTAATTATGAAAATGTTCATCAAACTTGGGCCAAACACTAATTCCTAATATTATAACATGCTAATGAGAAAATAGCAACATAAATAAACGTAGTATGACAGCTACCCAGATTCCTTTTCAGAATGATGTGGAGGAAAAATGGAGGGAGGAAGGGAAGGAGGGAGGGAGAGAGGGAGGGAGGGAGGGAGGGAGGGAGGGAGGGAGGGAGGGAAGAGAGATGGACAGGTAGACCTATTATCAGAGATATGCCTTCCTTGCAAGTTGTTGAGAAAATTGTATTACAGATGACTGCATATTCTAAGCTTATGTACAGATATTTTATACAACAAATTCTCTCCAGGTTTCTCTAGAAGTTTACTAATGGATACTAAAATTCATTTAGATGGGAAAAGGAGACATTTTTTCCTTAAAAAGGAATAAAGAATATGCTTGCCTTATATGAAGATATATTACCGTATAAAACAATAACTATCAAAATCATTATCTAAAAACAGAAAACTATAATTGAAGATTATCTCCCAAAATAGAGCTGGGATTCCACTGAAATAGTTGCCAACATTTATTTTCATATTACACCTTCTTTAGTGGTGAGATTGTAAGGTTTCGAAATGTTTGTAGTTTGTTATAAGGCAAGTGTTTTAGCTTAGGGTGGGATCTTTTTTGCCCCAAGTTCAAAGAGCTGTGGTAACAAAGCAATATCCTGTTGAAGTGCAATGTCAGGTACAAAGTCAAGGTGCCAAAAATGAAGTGGCCATGCACTTCCTGGCAGCCCTTGGGAGCAGGCAAAGGCAGCTTCTACGGGGAGGCACTCACACAACTGACAAAAATGAGTGCCTCCTGGAGGCCTCTGTGCCAACAAGGCGATCCACTTCTTGTGTGACTTTGGGAAACTCACTCCCTCTTCTGGATACCAGTTTCCCCCTAAAAAGTTGGAAGAGTTGAATTAGTAAACTCAGGTCTCTTCCAAGTTCCCATTTTACCATTCTAGATTTCAAACCAAGGAGAGAAACCTAGAGGGAAAAGAACTGGAACTGTGACAATGCCCTCTTCCTAGACTGGGAGCTGCAAGCACATGTTTAAATGCTGGATCGATCACACAGCAAACCCCCAGGCCACAGAAAGCAAGATCACACTTTGAAAAACAAACCTAAATATAGTCTGAAGGCTCAGCTGGGTGGGGTGAATGTTTCCCTAAATCTGGGGCATGAAATCGTGCTAACATATATCTCTCTCCTCATAAGGTGAGACCTTGGGTGAATACAGAAAGAAGAGAAAAAGTCAGCCCTGGGATGATTATAAAAGAAAGTAAATCTGGTTCAGCTCCGCTGAGGAAAACATCCAGGCCATTCTGGAATGGAAATAAGTCTACGGACTTCCCTGAGGCAATAGTCACTAAGATACTGTGGAGAGCACCTGAGATCCCAAGGGCCTTTCTAGCATGCGCCTGCATCCCATCAACCCCTGAGCTAACCTTAATCACATCTGTTTGTTAAGATCCTTTTCAAAAAGTAGCCACTCTATTTATAAGATCCTTTGCTAATACACATGTTCACTTGTGCTTAACTACAACCTAACCACCATTCTCCCAATTCTAGGTACAGAACAAATATGCTTATAAACTCAAGAATCTATTAACAAAGAAGTACTGACTATATATGCCAATTGTAGTTTGTTATAATGCAAGTGTTTTAGCTTAGGGTGAGATCTATGTGACATTTGACAATGTCTATGATACAGGAGAAAAGGCAAATACCCATCTGAAGAAGAATTACAGCCTGCTACACAAAGCCCAAGGGGTGGATTCGAACATCTACCCCGGAAACAAGGCCTACCTAGCATTTGCAGGATCCCACTGCAGGCAGTGCTTCTCAACCTCCTTAGCTGCAACTTTTAGTAAGAAATATGTTTTATCAAATGATCATCTAATACACTCATATGCACTATATGTCTCAAACAAACGCTTTCAAAAACAATATTCTTAGGATATGTATACACTGAGAGGCCAATTATGATCTCTGAATGCATAATATCTGGCCACTCAGTGTGTGTGTGTGTGTGTGTGTGTGTGTGTGTGTGTGTGTATGTGTACACATTATATATATATATATATTCCAATGTATGAATTCATGCATGGATGGGGTCCAGCCAGCCTGGCTACGGGTAGTTGGCTGGCCTGCCTGCTGGTCGAACTCCTGGTTGAAGGGACAATTTGCATATTAGCCTTTTACTATATAGGATATACACTGAGTGACCAGATTATTATGCATTCAGAGATTATAATAATCTGGCCACTCAGTGTAAATGCTGATATTACTTATTCTTGCCTGCTTCTTTTTTTAAAAAAATTCTGGTCACAACTTACTCAATTAAATTCATAACCATGACTCACCATTTGAAAAACTCTGCTACAGGACACTAATTTTATTCAAAATACCCTCTGCATCATAATGGTTTCTTTTCTAGGATGTGGCAGAGGAAAGGTGGTCAAATTCATCTTGAATTGTATTCCAAAACCTGAAAAAAGTCCGTTCTCATACCAAGCAAACTTACGGCATACAAATTACAAAAATGATTACAGTATTTCTTGGTAAGTGATTCAGGGCTCTAAGCTAACTGCCATCCCTTCCCACACGAGGAAGCCAGGCAGGCACCCATACCTCATCCGGTAGTGGAGCCGGAGCGATGTCTTGTCGTCAACAGTAATGCTGCGATTTGGAGCATACCAGAGCTTGGTGCTCTCATCGTACAGGGCAAAGAGGTTGTGGCACAGAGGAGAGATACCTGGGGAAAAGTAAAGAACATATCAAAATGTCAAAGATAGATATATTTGCATGATATATGCAACAGAGGAAATTCTCTCATCCAGAAAGAATCTAGGTCACATTCGTATTCTCTGAGGGCAAATAAGACTTCCAAGCATGTTCAATCAAGCAGTGTTAATTATAATAATTAATAACTATGGCTTCCAACAATATGTACTATAGTTCCTGGCAAACCAGATTTAAGCCATTTAAAATGGATGCTTCATAATATTTCTCAGTGTCTACAACAGTCTTACCAAATCCTGCTTTAAAAAAGGCTGAGAGGTTTCCAGACCCTTTGCCTGAATTCACCTTGCTAATCAGTTGGGAACATTCTTGGAGTTTGAGAGGTCCCCAATCTGTCTCCTACAGAAAACATTTAAACAATTCTAATATATATATATTAAAACATTCAAAGAGGTTTCTGGCAGTAGCAGATAAAATCATGTGTTAGAATAAATAACCACAGTGATTTTTGTCAGTGATTAAGATCTATTACCATTAATAATAAATATATGTAAGCACTTTGCAGCATTATCATAAATATGCAGCCAACTAAGAAGAAGCTACATGCTTAACAAAGGTAGTTCAATAAGCTCCCTTGCCTCCCCACCCCACCAACTGCTTCTTTCAGTACAAGACAGACCCAAAAGATACAGGAGATATGAAGCCAGGAAAGCACCTTTTCGCTCACTTCTGAGTCCAAGATTAACATTACACGCACCTGTAATCTAAAGGCAAGTGGGCACGGGAGGAAAATGATTGCAAATAATCATATTTCATGTGCAGTCAGGCCTCAAACTAAGACACAGTGAACTAAACCGAAAATAATGTGAGAATATGAGATAACTGGTCCTTGTTTCCCAAATTAGACATCTGGAGTGAGACAGGCAGCCATGGGGACTCTCGCTAGCCCGACCTGCCTAGGCAGGGACTCTCCAATGAACAAGCTGAGTTAAGAAGCTGCAACCTCTTGACATCTCAATGCCTCAGCTAAACCCTCACCTCAGTTCCTGCTTCTCAAGTTATTTGGGAGCCAACCCTTCAGAACACTCCTCCTCGTAACAAAGAGGAGGGAGTTAAGCTGCAAACAGCATTCTCTCCGGGAACAAGGGCAAATGACTTTTGGATCCAGTATTAAGAGGACTGTGTTTCAGTATACCATTTTTTTTATTCACAAAATGGCTTTTGTGGACTGGCCTAGAAACCGGCCTTTCTTCAGACATTTGAGTGTGCAATCACATACATATTTAAGCATAACTCATTTATAATCATGGATCTGTCTGTAATTCGCTACAGATCTGATTCTAGTAATATTAGTATTCATAAATAAGAAAATCAAAGATATCTTTTTATATAAAAGTATGGAATAATAGCAATACTAACACTGCTGAGGGTTCAGTGTCAGGCATCAGGCTAACACACTCCACATTTATTATCTTTCGATTCTCCTAAGCACCTAATGAGATATTATGCATGCCATTTTACAAATAAAAGATACTGTGGCCTCCTGAGATTTAGTTTGATTCAAAGTTATTTGGTTAGTATCAATAGTAAAATGCAAAGCTGGGATTCAAGCCAAAACCGGTTTGGCTCAGTGGTAGAGCTTCGGTCTGCAGACTGAAAGGTCCCAGGTTCGATTCCGGTCAAGGGCATGTACCTGGGTTGCGGGCACATCCCCAGTAGGGGGTGTGCAAGAGGCAGCTGGTCGATGTTTCTCTCTCATCGACGTTTCTATCTCTCTATATCTCTCCCTTTCTCTCTGTGAAAAATTAATAAAATATATATTTTAAAAAAAAGGTTGGGATTCAAATCAAACGAACTACTGAGTAGGTTAAATAAGGAGAACTAAAATTATAAAAATTTGCCAAATGATAATGAAAAACATGGAAGAAATCAATACTGCCCTCAAACACCACTTATTATAATAATAAGAGCTACAAGAATGTGGCATCCTGTGTTCATGCATTTCCAAAATCAATAAATTTCTGTAACATTCTCCTGAGTCAGTTAGAATAGAGGCTGCTAATTCTCCACAGAGTGGACTTAAATCTCTACGTTTCTATGGCATGACTTTGTCATTTAAAAGCAGGTGGCAAACACGGCCAATGACTCCAAATCTAAAAGATAATGAAAAAGGCTTTATTTTGTTACTCAGTTTGACCTTCACCTTCTGAAGGCAACAGGCTAAGTTTAGTAATATAAGCCTAATTTTTTTTATTTTAAATGGATTATGTTGTTCACAACCTCACTGTCCTTTTCACAACTTGGCAATCTGACCAAGCCACAAAGTGACACTATATTTCTCACTTCACCTCAGCATCACATCGGAGGTGGGGGTGGGGGCGGAGGCAGGCCACAGCCGCAGGATGAATCACACTTGTCAGAAGTTCTGAACATTATGATATAAGAGGTACTACTTATGAAGCCAATAAGTTTGAGCTTCGCTCATTTAGTGCTGATATTCTTCGATTGCACAGACATAGGGGAAATAAAAACGAAGTCTTCACAGAGGGCAAGCATTGTCCCTGGGTATCCCACAGGCTCATTAGTGACAGTAGGAATAAACCACTTTGCAATGAGGAAAGTGAAACTCTCAGAATTCAAGCCACTGGCCTGAGGTCAAGGGTAAGTAAGTGGCAGAGGCAGGGCTGAACCCCTGACTCCCAGAGTCCACACCTCTCTCCACTCAACGAAGCCGTCAGGACAGACACACCCGGATGGGCTTCTGGGATGGTGTACCCCCGAAACCCGCTCCGGGCAGGGCTGCAGCCAGTACTCACAGCACTCCTGCGCCGCCCTGATGCACAGCTCCTCCGCCGTGTACTCCCCGCTGCCCAGCCGCAGGGGCTCCCTGTCCGGCAGGTAGAAGAGCACTTCCACCCCGGGCTCAGGGGCCTCCAGGTTCGCCTCGGTCTTCTTGGAGCTCCGCATTTTAGCACAGAAAGCCATGGCATTGCAGTCCTCTTTGATATTTAGATACTGTAAGGAAAAGAAGGCTGTGGTCGTTCCGTGCGCTGAGAGCTCCGGCAGTAAAGGAGAGTGTTACGAAGGTGAGGGCAAGCAGAAATCTGGGGTGCTGGGTAAGTACCTCCTCTCTCTGCCCCTTCCCTCCCTGAACGTCAAATGCATCAGGGCTTGTGACGTGTGAAACTGTGAAAAATAATCTATTACACATTCTAATTAATCGTGTATTGTCAGGCCATAGTCTCAAAGATCAGAATAACTTTAGACAGGTTTCAATTTATTTTCTCTATTTGCAACATAAGCTATCATTGGAAAATGTGGCTCATTCTGGAACCACTAATGCTAATGATACTAGCACTGCTGCTAACTCGACTGGGATCATTTTACCTTTGAATAGAGCTATGGCATGAATCACCTTGTCTTTTAATTTTATATCTCTCTCCCACTAAACTGCAAGCTTAGAAGGGGCAGGAATCATGTTTATCTATCCCCAAACCCCCAGAACCCAGCCAGGCTGGCTCTTACATAGTACACACAAAATGATAAGTAATTCATGTTCATAAACACCATGAAAATTAATCCAAGGAGCCAGACCCCCGGCACCCATGGGCAGGCAGGAGGATGAGCAGCACCTGTGGCAGAATTAGGGTGGGCAGCCTTGCTTTGAAAGGGTCAGAACTTTCTGGTGAGAAGTTTGCAAAAAGTCATTTATATGAGTCTCCTAAAAAGGGAGAGCAACTAGGGTCAAAGAGCCAACCTCAGCAACCTAGTCTTGGACAAGGCCAGAAAGGAGAGGGAAACCCCTACACATTCTTTCTTCCCCTCACCCCACACCAATGGCCTACAGCTTAATTTCCCTGACCTAAGGTCACAGCTTTCCTCCTGCCTGCCAAGCCAGCCTTCACTGAGCCCCCAAAGTAATGTCTCTGAAACACAAGTCAGGTCCTCCAAAGGCCCCCACTATCTGCAGACTAATCTCAACGCCTCACAGAGCCCTCCGTCACCTGCCAGCTAGCCTCACTAATCTCATCTTTTATCACTCCCGGCCTCTTACTTCATGCCTCACACCCACAACGCTGCCATCTTCCTGCTAACTACCTCCACCTCCATCTCTCCCCCAATGCTGTTTTTCTCACCTTCCGGACTTTGCTCATGCTGATCCCTCTACCAAAAATACCTTTCCACTGCATCCCTTTCCTGGTAAACTCCAATTTCCTTTAGAGCTCAGCTCAGATGTTCACTTCTCCAAGAAGCCACCTCTGACCCCCATCCTGTTCCCTAAGTTAGATGCTCTCTCCCACACTCCCTCCCTGCACTAACGATACCCGTTCATGTGTCTGTCTCTCTCTTACTCGCTTGCTTGTGCTGTGAGTTCCCTTAGGACAAGGACTATGTCATTCATCTTTGTTTCCCAAGTACCTAACACAGAAGCTTACATGCTTGCAGAATAACCCAAGAGGCTCCTCAAAACAAGACAAGTCACATGGAACAGACAACAGTCATGGTTGTCTTCACCAAATTCATGTGCTTGGTCTATTAGCTGTCTTGGTGAACTATCATAAGACAGTTATAGGAGGGGCGTAAGCTAGGTATGCGCCTCAATGCTGCAAACTGAGAGCCATTCAGTTTTACATATTTAATCTCTAAAATGAACCTGAAAACCAGAATCTCCCAGAAACCAGGCTGAAAGACTAAGCTCATAACTTACTTGGAGGTTCAGATCAACTATACCGTAAGCAAGAAAGTTCTAAAACTCAACCCTGATTACCCAAATTCACCCCACAATGAAAAATAGAGATGGAGAATAGAGAGCAGACTTTAGCTAAGTCTGCTTCATAATGTGGATTAGCCTTTGTCCTGGAGGTTCTATACAGACATGGCAGGGGAAGAAGACAAAGATGGTGTTACCCTTTCACCCTGAGGAGACAATCAGGCAAGCACACATAATTACATAGATACAAGATGTGGCAATGGGGGGAAAAATACAACCGACAATGTCCAACAGGAGAGGATTCCTTAACAAAATAATAGCAACAAAGACACCATGCAGCTGTTAGAAAAGTTGACATAAAGCTCTATGAACCAACACTGAAAGGTGTTTATGACATCCTACAAAATGAAAAAAAAAAAGCACAGTATGTATATGTGGTTATATACAGCTACAATCTGGAAAAACATATAAATAACAGTAGTGAATGTCAAGGAGGGTTCACAAAAGAACTTTAACTTGTACTTTTAACTCCCTAAAAGCTTTTTTTAAGGCAGAACATTCAACATTTGAAATGAACAAAAGTTAAAATACCGATATTTAGGAACTAAAGGATTTCAAATCAGTTTCATTATTCTTTTTAAAAGCTCTTTTTCTTTTTGTCTTTAATATGCAAATGTACATACCTGCATTTATTCGACTGTTCAATGTCCCCCAAAAGCAGACTGGATTTTCTTCTCTACTTTCCAAAGCCCGTTCAGAGATGAGCTGCACAAGGACAAATAAACAGATCAGCGGCAGAGGTAATTGCATCAGGAAAGAAGAGGACACTTTCATTAAGGGAGCAGCCCAAACCATAAGCAGGCAGGAAAAAGCATTTGGGAGGAAGAAGGAAAACAACAAAAAGCAATGATAAGGACACCGAGTGGACAGAGAGGCAGCTTGGGGTGTAAACACCAGAGAAGATGTTATTCTGGCGGCTTCAGAATGGAAGCCAGGGACTTTTGCTTCCTGGCGCAGAGTGCCCTGTCCAGAGCAAGAGAAGACTGTGCACCTTCTGTCAACAACCTCTCCCCCGAGGCTGTGAACAATAGTTTGGGACGCCCAAAGATGCGCGCGCTTATTTCCTATTTCCATTTCCTTTAGAATTACCCTCCTCCCAAAGCGGTTTACCCTTGGCCTCATTTTAATGGTGAGCCAACATATGGTATGCCGATGGGGGAAGGCCTAGGAATAAATCTGACTATGCTTTCAGTTCCCCAAGTAGTTTTTGAGCCATTCTTATTTGAAAGCTTAGGTAGCAAATAAAGCTCCCATGCTACTCCTCAATCTTACTACTTCAAAGCATATTAAACAGAACACCAGCTTGGTTCTGTAGAATTAAAGTGCCTGGACAGGGACACACACACACACACTGGGACACACACACACACACACACACACACACACACACACAGAGCTTTGTTTTGTTTTAACAACTTCCCTTGCTGTTTCTTACAAACACTCTTTTATACCAGTAGAATCAAGCTACTGTTGCAAATAAGGAACAACCACCCTTAGTGATTTGAAAGTGGTTTCCAAGTTAATACAAGTTATTGCCTCAGTTTCCTGTCTATCACCCAGCACATGTTGTCACCGTGCATCTTGAGGAAGAACGCTGTCCCAGTGTGAGGTGGCAGAATGGCGGGGCACCAGAGATAATGGCGTGAGGCTGCAAGGCTGCCTTTCCCACGGGACCTGACAATCCAACTGGGAGGTGACACAACGGAAAACATAAAAGCAATCAAACAGCAACCGTGTGTGTCACCATGGCATCTTCTGTACCTCTAGCTAACTCTGGGACTAACACTGGTGACGGCTAATTTGGGAATGCTTTCTGCAATGGATGAGGCTTAAGCAAAGCTAACAATTGGAGGCCAAGCAGGGAATACAAGTATGAATTTTGATGTGACAGCTTTGACGTGGCTATTTTAACATGGACAATTTTAACACGGTTCAAAGAACAGATCACAAGACTTTTAGCTTTTAAAATGTGATATAATCAATTACTTTAAGTGAATAGATACCCTGCCCTGCATCAAAACAGCAACCTGAAATTAGCTACATGCTAATGCCTTGCTTCTGCTTAGAAGCAGGGTTTCAAACGTCATGTTTAGGACACTCAAGAATGTTTGAACAGTTCTAAGTGCGAACATCTGAGCTATTTCAAGAGGCCACAATGAAGAATAAGAGAGATATGTCCCTGATTACATGGAGTTTATGGTCTACAGGACCAATGGAATCAAACAAAAAAGCACAGAAATGAGTAATTATAAAGAGCTTAAAATGCTCTGAAGGAAAAGGAGAGCTCATGTAAGAGCAATATGTTTAGCATGGAGTTCAAGAGGGAAGTAATATTGACCTAAGTTGCAGTGGGTAACTAGGGAAGTGGGGAGAAAGCAGTCTGGGTGAAGGATTAGCATGTGCAAAGGTCCTGTAAGAAATGAGGAACTAGTCTGGTCTCTCCAGCTGCACAAATAGGAAAATCCCTCCAATACTCCTTCTTACACCTGGACAAAGACCAGCACTAGCTCATCTATAGGCTTGCCAACAGCATGTCGGGGATTTTCTACCTCAGATTTCTTGTAGTGGGCCACTGTAATCTGTTGCTGAGGATGAATAAAAATTAACCAGATGAGCTCCATGCTTTCAAGCATTAAGAAGCCCATCGTAAACCAGGAAAGGGACACACAATCGGAGCCTTTCAGAGCAGGAAGAGACCTATAAGTTCCACCAGGTGCAGGCTCTTTCAGAAGAGATACAGCATAAAATTTTAGAACTCACAAAGCATTTTTAATATGCACCATCAGATTGAGCACATGTTACTTGAATTTAGGAGCTGTGGGGTTGCTCTGGGACTCATGTAGGATTCAAGAATCAGACTAAAATCACTAAGATTCTTCTAGAATTAGAATTCTATGAAAACATGTTATCAAGCAGAGTTTGGTGTTTCCGTTATTCTTTTTCCACAGCAAGCAACATTATATTGGAATCACATTGTACCTAATTTCCAAACTGATCGCCAGTATTACTGGACAGGATAAAATGGTATCAATTTGTGATGCTTACCTTAGAGAAAACAAGATCAGCAACAGAATTTCTAGACAATATGCATTACTCTGGTGCTTTATATGCTGATTCAATAACAACAAATCACTACTCTTAGGAAACTGACATTCTAATGATAAAAATGTTAAAAGCACTTAACAGAGATGCTGTGCATCATCCTAAGTGCTTAGCCCTCGGTCTGCTGATCCAGTTCTTGTGCAATGACAACTGTCCTCACTCAGGATAACAAGTGGTTTTTGGTGCTACAGCATTTGTGTAATGGCTTTTTTCAAATAAACATTTTTTCCAAAACAAAAACAAAACACACAATATGACCTAGCTACTAATTTTTACAACAGGTAGGAAAAGAGCAAGATCTGTTTATAAATACTTTGGATAATTCCAAGCAATCAATTCAAGCTTCTTGCTACAGGATACAAAGAGAATCTTTAATGGTAGAAAAACTGACCAGATGGAATCACAAAATGCCCTACAAAACAACATGATTTACTGGGTTCCATTCTCAACGCAGATGAAAACAATGAGGCTCAGAAAGCAGGACAGATGAAAGTGAATAATCAAAAGGTTTTGATGATAGCAATGAATTTATCCACCCTAATCCTACATAATAAAAGGCTAATACACAAACTGTCCCCTCGACCAGTAGTTTGGGGGGGGGGGGGGCAGCGCAGAGAAATTTTGTAGATTCTCAGGGTTTTTTTTTTTAATTTATGAAAGTCTCATGTGAGTGACAAGTACATCTGATACTTTCTGAGTGAGGGAAAATTAACAGAAAAAAAAAAAAAAAAAAGTCCGGTGAGCCTGAACAAGGACTAAACTGCAATAGCTGGGATATCACTATTTCCCAAAATGCACAATTCCAAAATATCTACTGAAAAATACTGAAGCCCTCTTATATTTTCAAGGACATCTTCTGAAATACAGGTATCTGTATAAAGAAAAATATACAATTAAATTTGGAATAATGGAGAAAAGAAACATAAAGAGACCATATTAACTCACAAATACAACCAAAAGCCACTGACAGATTTATATGATGAAAACAGACTAGATCACAGTTAAAAATCAATGACCATCAAAATATAATACTTTGGTTACCTGATTGTTTTTACTAAACAAACAGTTATACTTCCAGTGAATTACTTTATATATGCATTAAAGGAATTAAAGCCTTTAATCTCTTAAGTAGAATATACAAATAAAATGTTAAAGAATTAAGGTATGAACTTGGGAAAATTTTTAAGAAATGTTATTAGAAAACATCCTGAATAGAACCAGAGTCATAGAAGCATTGAACAGACAGTCTAATCTATGAGGGAAGGTGGGGGGGAGGGAGGGTAAGGGGGTAAGAGATCAACCAAAGGACTTGTATGCTTGCATATGAGCATAACCAATGGACACAGACAATAGGGGTGTGGGGATGTAAGGGCATATGCTGGGGAGTGGGGGCGGCCGGGGAGAGGTCAATGGGGAAAAAAGGAGACTTACATTATTAAACAACAAAGAATTTAAAAAGAAAAGAATATGTTCTGAAATCAGCTGCTTAATACCTTAAGAAATTGTAAGATTAAAGATATAAAGCCTTGTCCTAACCAGTCTGGCTCAGTGGATAAGAGCGTCAGCCCACAGACTGAAGGTTTCCAGGTTCGATTCCAGTCAAGGGCATGTACCTTAGTTGCAGGCTCAATCCCCAATAGGGGACATGCAGGAGGCAGCTGATCAATGTTTCTCTCTCATTGATGTTTCTAATTCTTTATCCCTCTCCCTTCCTCTCGGTAAAAATCAATAAAATGTATATATATTTTAAAGATAAAGGTGTTAAGCCTTAAAAAAGTATTTCAGCAGGCACCAGTCTTAGTGTTGGTGAAGAAAGTAATACAAAAATACAAGCTCCTAAAACAAATAATAAAATAAAATACAAGTTCCTAGAGGGCAGGGATTTTTGTCTCTTTTGTTTAGTGCTTTACATATTAAGTGATTAATAAATAGTAAAAACAGTTGTTCAATGAAAGATTAAGGTGACAAACAAAGCAACCTATGCAATGGAAACTTCACCCTAATCCAGGTGTGTGGGTTCTTAAGGACTTGGTACATAGGCAGGAGATGTGAATGTGTTCAGAAAGGCATTTAAGTGCTAAAGCAATATAATATAGGCTTTACGGCAGAAGATGAAGGTGGGCTGTGAGCTTGCTCAGAAAAAATGAATAAATAGGAATTCTGAACAAAAGCCAGGTCACAAATCAAAGTCTTGTTCACAAGTCTCAGATGACACAGAACAGCAGCTAAAAGCATGAGCTGGCGTCATCCAGGCCTGAGTTTGGGTCCCACGCTCCCCACTTACGAGCTATTGTAATCTTAGGCCTGTTACTTAACATCCCTAAACCACAATGTTCTCAGCTTTAAGTGGAGGGATAAAATAGGGTATATCTCACAGAGCTGTTAAGAGATGCATTAATGCACATAAAGTGCCTAACAGATTTAGCAGGCAATAAGCATTCAGGTTTTGGGCATAATTTCTGTTAAACTGATTCAAGCTTGATGGCATACAGTTCCAGCCAAGGAGAACAAACGTCTTATGCATGGA